ATGTTGTGACGTTGGAGACTTGGAAGAAGGAGACCCGACTCTGCTGTGCTGAAAAATGGAAAGAAGAAGGAGAGAAGGGATGAATGGATGAGAGGACGGTGGGGTTGAGAGAATGACACAAAGTGCTGGATGTGTTAAATTGGTTGACTTGTCCGGTTACTGGGACTGGTTGATGGGTAGCCCTGGACCTGAACCTTAGTCAACATCATAAACTCACAACAAAAGGCGTCCAAAACAACTTTTAACACGTCTTGAATGAAACAGTGGATGAGTGCAGACATTATTGTATTGTCCACCTAAAAGAGATGAGCTCATGTTTGTCGTGCAGCTTCAGCCTGAAACAATCTGTTTTTTCCTGATATATTTGCCTCTGTGTACACACTTCCTGCTTATTCCAGTTGTGTCCTGATACAGAGAATAAATATTAAATGTTCTTAAAATCTTGTTAAACACTAAACCTGATTAAAGCACAGCCTTTGTCATTAACTGGTCTAACAGTCAGAACAGTAGAAGCCATATATCCTCCACCCAGATGGAGCGTTGACACCACGTTGCCAGCAGCGTTGCATAAGCGTATTAAAATGCATGCTATTTGTACCAAAGTGTCTGCAATGTGGACAAGCATGTTTGTTTTGGAGTATGAATGTTTTTGTAATCCTGTTTTAAACCCACTCTACCACAGAGCTTAAAAACACAACATACACGAGTAATTCAACCTTATTTAGATTTTAATTTCTTCATTAAAACTATTTTACTATTTATTTGTTTCTGTATTAAATGAAGGACGTGTGCTGGTGAACATCTATTGGAAAGTAAAAACTGTCATTTATAATTTTATGATGTTTTATTTCACATGCTCGGAGGAAAACATCCACAGCAGCGTTGCATAAGAGCATTAAAATGCAAATGATCTGAGTGGACGTGTCTGCAGCGTGGACTTGATGTGACTCGCTCCTTGTGTCCGCTGCCTCCGAGCTGCTATATCGGTCCGATGAGGTTGACTTCCTCCCGTGAAGACAGGGGGCGCGGTTTATTCAAATGACACACAAGCTTCTGATGCTTGACGTACTATCAGACCACAGCAAATACGGGCCTCTCATTGGACGACGGCGGCTGGTCTCATGACAAGAACGGCGAGCCGCCAGCCAATGGGATCCCTCCGTGGGCCACAGAGTCTGTTTGTGAATGACGTAATGAGCGTAAAACAAGATGGCGTCGCGTCCAACATAAATCGGTGTGAATGAGTTTATCGGCGTAAAGGCTGCCTCTCCGGAGGCTCTCGTGTTGTTTTACGGTTGTTTTGGTTGCGCGACACGTTTCGCGGTGAGGTGAGTGTGCCGGAGGCGTTGCCGGACACCTCGGAAGAGCCTGTTGTCGTCGAGCCTCCGGTGACAGCCGGGAAGGCGAGCCGCCGACGGACAGGATGGACAGCGGAGAATACATCTCCTCCATGGACACCATGGACCAGTCTCTGGCGGAGTTAGGGGACGAATTCACTCTGGGAGACATCGACGGTGAGCAGCTGTGTGTCCCTGCTGACTGGGTCGTTGTTTTGTAGGTGCTGGCCCGGTTCTGCTCAGCCTGAGCTGCTCCGTGTGTCTCTGGAGGGTTTATGTGGAGCTGGTCGGGATTCAAAGTTAAAATAAACGGATAACATGTTAAACCTAAAGGTCCTGTTGTGTCAGGGGATGATATTTAAACTAATTTAGTTATTATTTACTGAGCTACAGACTGCACTGTGGTGTGTAGTGTGTGTACACTTAGATTAACTGATCATCATTTAAATGTTATTGGAAATATTTTTTTTAAATTAATTTATAATAGATTTTATTTGCAGCACTTGTTTCCTATTTGACTTGTAAAATTTACTTTTTTTTTTACTTGCAATAATTTTAAAATCTAATAATTTAAATGTCCTACTCGTTAGTGTTTACCATTATTCACTAATCATCAGCTCACATTCTTCCTGTGTTCATACCTGTGCCAAAAAAAAAAAGATTCCTATAATGATTCTGAGTTTAGCTGCATTTATTCCTCACAAAATGTAATCATCAACATGAACTTCCCACCTGTGGAAAGCTGTCGTGTCAAATCGTCCATCGGGCCTGAACTTTATTTGCAGAGTGAAATAACACGTTGGGCTTAATTTCACCTTTAAGTTTCCTGTGTGTCTATGAAAGCTGGGCTCCAGGTTGACAGTAATTACGTGATGCTGTTTGCAGCGGAGGTGGGTTTCAGTGAGAGGTGTCACTTGATGACTGTGTTATCACTGAGTTATTAGAAAAGCAGTCTGGAAACAATTCTCTGTGGTTTTTATTTAAAGTTAGCTTTTGTGGATGAAAGACGGGAGCTTTTTTCTTATCTCAGCATCTTTTTTAGAGTAGAGCTTCATTAGGTGTCAGCTATATTTCTAATTAATTAATTGGCTTCTGTCAGTTTTTAAGAAAACAAAGTAGAAATGCTACGATTGGAGCTTCTTAGATGTGAATATTTTCTGGTTTCTCTCCTCCTCTGTGACGGTAAACAGCAACTTCTGGTTTCTATTTGGGTTGTGGACAAAACCACATGTTTGATGATGTCATCTTGAAACCCCGGTCGATATATTTTACAGCCAAAACAACTAATCGACCAGTCAAGAGAATAATCAACAGATAATTAATACTTGAAGCCCTTTTTTTATCTTCCAAACTTAGTCTGCAGAAATAATTGAGCAATGTTTGTGGGACAACATCTCTGAACGGATCCAGGCTCAGGCCCAGCGAACAAACAGCATCCTTGATCCGGTCTCCCTTCTATCAAAACAAGTTTCACCCTTTGGCACGCGGTGAAAGGATGGGGCTTTTGGTGTAACACTGGCCAGCGCAGAGTCACCAGATTTCCATTAGGGTGGAATTTTACTGAATGCTAAGTCACCAGACCGGATTGATGGACTGGTGTGTGTGTCTGTGTGTGTGTCTGTGTGTGTCTGTGTGTGTGTGTGTGTGTGTGGTATGTCAGATGAAATCAGGTTTTAGGACATTACTCCTCTTTTTGTCTGCCTGTCATGGCGGTTAGTCGCGCACTCACCAAGATCCAACTGAAACAATGAAGGCCAACATGGCACGACACCTCTCTGAAACTCCACCTGTCTTTGGCCTCAGGTGTTCATTCTCCTCTCAAACAGGGTCTTTAGACGGAACGAGCAGACTGCACGCCCCCGGCCATGGTTATGTAATCCCACTTAATCATTGTGTCAAAAGAGGGGCCTGTACAGTTTGTGTGAAAGAGAAATGACAGCCGAGGTTTGACTGATGAATCCACAGGCTGATTTCTGCTGCACTCAGTCTGAGCTTCCAACTGCAAAACCGTGTTTGTTTACAGATATTTTTGCTGCTTATCTCCCCCCAACAGTTTGTTAGAGATTCAGGGTTTCTGCTTTCAGTATATTTATTTAAGATCAAACTATGTTTCATCGTTGTTCTGCAGACTCGCCACATGAATGTCTGTGCGTGTGAAGCCACATCTCACGCAGTTGACCACATATTCATCTGGAACATTCTTTCTCTCTCAATTACTCGCTTAGCAACTGCAGATCTTGTTATATAAGCTATTTTCTTTGCTCTCACCAGCCGAGGAAACTGTCCCCCTTTGATGGATTTACCCTTTGTGTTCGCTTGTCTGAAGCTTTGGGGGCTCAGGGAGGCTTTGTCCTGCCTGCCACTAACAGTCTGCCCCCTGTGGCGGCGTACAAGTGCACGATCCGGCGTGTCAGCCTACCCACAGGCAGGTTACAGCTCCCCATCAGAAAGGCCAATTAATGCTCCAATTAGGGCTGAACAATGAGTCAATGTCAAATCAAAATGGCAACGTGAAACTAACGCAAAAGCTGCAATTTAGGATGAGCGAGGTGTCGCTGCTAAATGATGACACTAATGCTGCGTTTCATGTTTGTTTAATTCAAGCAGATTGGAGTTTTAAAGCCCATTGATCAGCGTGTGCTGCGCGGTCAGGCGTGCAGGCTGCGGTTTGTGGTGGCGTTTGCCCGGTCGTGGTATTTATTTAATAGCCACGTCTGGTGCATTTTGCTGCGCGTCTGACCCACAGTTTAAACCGTCGTCAGCAATTCTGCAAATTCAGGCTCGCTTTCTCTTGGCTAATCATTATTCACATGTTTTAAATCTATTACTAAGTGAATGTTTAATGTTGAACTAAAACATTATTGTGAATCAAAGATCTGCAACATATCGTCCCCACATGGTTCAGCTCTGGTTCCTGCAGGGCTGCTTATTTAAAATACTCAATCCAAGGAAATATCGTCCTTCTCTTCCCAGTTGTTGGTTTTTTTCTAGTCGCTTTTATAGCCCTTTAATTTTAATAAAGAAAAATAAAGTAACATGCAGATAACATCTTTATTTTAATGATCGTTCGAGCTGATGGGATGTTGGCTTTCCTTGCTTAAAGATAACACATTTATTGCTTTATCGATTAGACAATGTTGAACTGTAATAACAGACGGAGCTGACAGGATGTCGGCTTCTTGTTGTGAGAAGATAAGAACTGTAAGTGTTGAAATGTTTTACTTCTGTCCAAACTCAGCTTTCGCCTCTATTGTTGTATCAGAGTCATTTTGTGTTGCAGCTGTTTTGAGGTTTCGTGTCACAGTTACTGAAAAATACGTCCTGCACGTAGAACATGTGGTAAAAATATTGCAAAACATTTGAGAAGCCACACAAAAAGAAAGCATTAGCTTCATTGCAATAGTCTGAAATGTTAAACGTTTAAAGATGCTAGAGAAGTAGATAAAAGATGACAGAAGTATGTTTTCCTTCATTTGTCCCTGTGATGGTGTTTGTGTGGACTAGTTATCATCATGTTGTGTTACCAAGCAGCAGTGTTTGCACCTGAGGGCGACTAAACCTCTAATGAACGCTCAGCGACTGCTCTCAGTCATTTTGATGCCACAAAGTAGTGACCTGAAAACGTTTTACGTGTGCAGCGAGGAAAGATCGCTGTTGACTTGTTATGTTTTATAGTCAATTCAATTCATGATGTCATGAATCTAAACGCAGGTGTTTCATTTATCAACAATAAAACACAGAAATATTCCATTTACATAAATATTTAGACACTTTTTTTTTATTTTTTAGTGACTTGCTTTGCTGCATCATGCTGACATCAGTGATGCTTCTACAGTTTGGTTGCCTGTAACTGAATTCATCTGGCGTAATTAAGAAAAGCACACACACCCGTCTGTATGATATCTCAGACTGAACTGAAGAGAATTGTTTGTAGATCTCTGAGGCAGGTTCGTATCTGAGCTCACATCAGGGGAAGGACACTGAAAGGTTTCCACGGCTTTGAAAGCGCCTAAGAGCACGGAGTAGCCTCCGTCATTCTCAGATGGAGGAAGTCTAGAAACGCCAGCCATCTGGCCGCCTAGCTGGACTGAGCAATTAGGAAAGAAGGGCCTCGGTCAGCCTGAGACTAAATTGGTCACCACGAGTGAGAGTTACTTTGTGGAGGTGAGAGCATCAGGGCGGCTCTCCATCGCTGTGGAAAAGTGTCCAGAAAGAAGCTGCTCCTCACTAAAAGGCACAAACAAGCCTGCAGGGAGAGAAGGCGCCTGAACGGCTCTCAGCCCAGAAGCAGAATCCTCTGATCTGTTAAAACTAAGATGGAATTATTTGACCACAGTTCCCCACAGTGTGTGTGTGTGTGTGTGTGAGAAACCAGGCGCTGAGCATCACCTCATTAATATCGTCCCTATAGTCAAACACGGCGGCGGCAGCGTCATGCTGTGGACAGAGGCTGGGAAAGATGGATGTAGAAAAATCTGATATTTCATTTTGAATAAATGGACAACATACTCCAACAACCAACGTGTATTGTATGGAGGTGAAAATAACTGCATCTGCTTTCGGAGTCTGAAACGTACCAAAATGTGAAGAACATGGAGGGATCTGAAAACATCTGGAGCAGTGAAAGTCTCACCAGTGGGGGTGATTTGATGTCACTCAGCTGATAAATGCTCTCTGTGTTACTGTCTAACAATAGGACTAAGTTCAAGGCTACAGGCTTTGTTACTCCGTTGACCCTGACAGCTCAGACGCTATCAGTAACAGATCTATCAGGGACACTTCGACTACACGACCTCTGTAAACCTGTTGTCAAAGTCTTTCCAAAGACCTGAAGGATCACGAATGACGTTGTTTCCCCGGTGATGGACCGCACAGACTCGGAGTCCTTTTGCCGACTTATAACTGTGAAGAAAATAAACTCAGCAAAACAACTCTGCTCACAAAACGATGAACCTGTTTCTTATTTAAATCTGGCTGTCGTCTCTGTTGAAGTGTTTTCCTTCGTCGGTGGTAGAGATGAGAAGTGCTGCTAATGCTCTGATGCTCCTGGAAGGCTCGCTTTGTAAACATGTCAGCTGCCGTCTTCGCTGAACCTCCTAAACTCTTCAACTTGCATTTCATTTTGGGGAAGAGGAAGGGAGCAAAATCTAGAAATCAGGGTGGATGGAGAGCAGCGATCGTGTTCCCGTTGGAGCAGCCGCACGGCATCGCGCCACAGTTCAGGTCATTTGCGCTGCGTGATTGTTTTGTGGTTTTGGAAACTGGGAAAACGGCTCACTGTCCTCTCAGGTGTAGCTGCAGACCCGCCTCTATGACCATCATCCACATGAAGGCAGACTCATCCTGGCTGATGAACGATGCAGAATGAGATGTTTGCTCTCTGCTCCAGTTTGGAGAAATCACAAACACTCTGAGTGCTGCGACTGTTGTATCAGAACCTTTTGATCGACCCTCATGTGCATCCTCTGTATGTAAGGACCAGTTATTAGGTGGAGCTGTGCATATAACGCTGGTGTTCAGCAGCAAGATGACAGCTCATATTTTTTCATCACAACGTAGGCATCTGTCCATCTGTCCGTCCGAGCTGCCAGATTTTTTTAATCAAAGCGCTTTTTTACTTCTGCCACTCTGTTTTGAGGCAATCAGTAATGTTACCAAACCTTTCTCTTCAAGGCTATCTGTTTGAAGGCTGCTTTTTACTGATTTATGGCCACAACAGTAGCCCGTCTAGATGGGCCGTTCCAAGGTCAGGCCTTGAAATTCGCGTGGAGTTTCTTGTCTTATCTGCCAGCAATAAACTGTATTCACACATCTTGGCCAGACCTAAAGTGAAGCAACCTTACCCCTCCGTATTGGGCTTCTATAGAAGAGGACACCTGGAAAAACAGAATATAATACAGTGTCTGTCAGGGCTCAGCTTAAAGGCAAACTAATTAATCCTAATCAGTCATTCATTTATGTTTATAGGTGTCACCTCATGATCCACACTCTGCCTGAAGGGACACGATTTTCTTGTTTTTAAAGTAAAAATGCGTATCTTGATATTTAAGAAGTTGTGGAGCTGCTGTGATGTTGAAACATGAACTTTATTTAGCGGCAGACTGTCCAAAAGTTTTCCTTTCTTCGTCACATTTAATCAAATCCAGACTTGCTTCAACGTTCTTCTTGTTTCTTCGTCTCCTCAGAGATGCTGCAGTTTGTCAGCAACCAGGTGGGGGACTTCCCGGATCTGTTTGAGGACCAGATGAACACAGCCGGCTCTCTGCAGAGCGGCGGCACCAACCCGGTCCAACAACCCGCCATGCAAACCCCTCAAACACCGCAGACTCCCCAGACCCCCATGGCTGTCGCCTACCAGAGCCCCAGCGTCGGCCTGGCCCCCTCCCAGACCCTGTCCCCCCAGTCTGTGCCCCTTACTCCTCCCCTGACTCCCGTGCAGACACCCTCCCCCGTCGCCGCCGCCGTCCCCTCAGTGCAGCAGCAGGTGACCCGCAGCCCTCCTCTGCTTCAGCCACGGCCTCAGGTGGTCCAACCCATCCAGCCACAGCCCCAGCAGACGGCCCAGCCCACCATCCAGGTACCGACCGGATGACACCAGATTCACAAACAAGAACTGTGTTTGACACTCATTCATTGAAAACTATACTCAGAGTTCAGTTGTTAAAGTTAAGGGTCACTACATGAATCTAAAACTGGTGCTGCAGTGGTGGGATAGTGATGCACTTTTTAATATTAATGTGTTTGCAAGGGGCCTCGAAATGAAATTTAATTGTCCATTAAGGAGAAAAATTGTGCATTTACTTTGCATTATTGTGCCATTTATACTAAGAATAAATATTCTTGTACTGACTTTACACTTCATTCTGTTTGGAGCTGTTGTGACGGTGAACTTTCCCCACTGTGGGATCAATAAAGTTTATCTTATCTTAACTCTGAAATCAAACCCTGTTTATGTTTATCTTGAATGCAGATGCACACCCAGGGGATTCCCATGCAGACCCAGAGCTTCCCGGTCCACACTCTGGTTCAGACCCACAGCCAGACGCCCCTGCCCATCCAGACGCAGGCGGCTCAGACTGTGATGATCGCCTCCAGCGGCGGACAGTCGCGCTTCATCCAGAACCCCGTCATTTGCCATCAGAGCCCTGCTCCTGGATTCCAAGGTGACCAGAGAATGTGTCATTTATAAATTCATCGTTTCTTAACCGTCGTATGTTGTTGCAGCGGTAAACACACAAAGCTCTCTGACTGTGAGCTGTAACTAATGCATCGTTTGTCCTGTCATCCCTCCAGTCCTCCAGCCACAGGTGCAGAGCATCATGACATCACCACAGCTTCAGCCGGTGACCATTCAGCACCAGCGTGTCCTGACCCCAACAGGTCAAACCATCCAGACTCTCTCCACAGCGCCCACCACAGTCCACACCGTGCAACAGCAGGTGCAGCAAGTACCTGTGAGTGATCTCAGTGTTGTTAGCGAGTAATCACACTGCCGCCGTCTGACAATGAGCTGAAACTGTTCATAAAAGTTTAATGCTTCAAGAATCTTTACCGTACAATTTACACATTCATGTAGCTGTAGAGAATAAGACTAACAGATCTCGGTGCCTTATTGTTTTAAGCAGCACTACCTGAATCTTGTGGCTGACTTTCCCTCAGGTTCTGGTCCAGCAGCCGCAGATTCTGAAGACGGACTCGTTGGTCCTCACAACGCTCAAACCAGACGGGACACAGGTGCTGTCCACCATGCAGAGTCCCACAGGGATCACCACCCTGACCACGCCCATCCAGAACACAGCTCTACAGGTCCCGGTATGCAGCGTGGGTTAAAGCTTTAATGCTACTGTCTGACTGTTAGCAGTTAGAACTTTAGCCTCGACAAAGGCAGCAGCAGTGAATTGATCTTCTGTTCCCAGACGCTGATGAGCAGCAACATCCTCACCACCGTCCCTGTTGTAATGGGAGGAGGAGACAAGCTGCCGATCAAGCAGCTGCAGCCGGGCTCTTCCCACTGTTCAAACGGGGCCAGAACGGCCATGGATCAGAGCCAGATGACAGCAGGAGGAGTCGGGCCGGGAGGCGTGGTGAAGGAGGGCGAGAGGAGGACGACCCACAACATCATTGAGAAGCGATATCGGTCCTCCATCAATGACAAAATCATGGAGCTCAGAGATCTGGTCATGGGAAGCGACGCAAAGGTGAGCTGGAAAAGAAAAGCTTTAAGATTATGGTTGTGATGTTTTTCAGTATTTTGAATTGATGGCTGTGATGGAAACATGAACCTCACACATCATTCTTTCTGTCTTTCTTCTCAGATGCACAAGTCGGGCGTGTTGAGGAAGGCCATCGACCACATAAAGTACCTGCAGCAGGCCAACCACAAACTACGACAGGAGAACCTGGCGCTGAAGATGGCCAACCAGAAGAACAGTAAGGGTTTCACATCAGCTAAAGCTGCATGCACATCAGAATTTTTCCACGACTTGAGATTCCAACGAGCGTTTTATCTCCATCCCAGAGCAAGTGGTGCTGTCTGAAGACGTAGAGCTCAAACAGGAGGTGGTGATGATGTCGCCTCCAGCCTCAGATTCTGGTTCTGGTTCCCCTCACCAGTTCTCTCCTTACTGCGTCGACTCGGAGCCGGGCAGCCCCTTACTGGACCATGATCAGGTAACACACACATGAAGATGCACGAGCGTTTTTCTGTTCAACACACACTCGTGGTCTCAGCCTTTGCATTTACGAAGTGGTCCAAATACGGGCATTTAGGCGTTTTCCAATCTTTCTAAATAGTTCTGGGAGCTGCAATAACAGAACCTTTAGACGTATTAGAAACCCAAAATATGATAAAAGTGACAAAAGGTCAAATCCTTTTCTGGCATCTAATGAAACAACAGAACAGTTTGGATTCTCTCGACCACATTAAACATAGAAGAGGACGTGTTCTTCATAAAAGTCCACTTGGTCGGTATTTTTAATATATAACATTTGGTAAGACTTGTTGTAGATGTCCAGTCCAGACTGAGCAGGCCTATGGCTCTGTTATATCTCTGTCCTTTTTGTGGAATTAAAGAAATCGAGGCTTCATTGAATGTTGCTGACATTTGACCCTTTTCCTGCTAAACTTTCTGCAGAACTGGAGCACAAATATATTTTTATAATATTCCACAGAAAATCCATCATAACCTGGTGATTTCCCAGTTCTCATTAGTCAGGCAGCTCTCCTGATTCCACCCTCAGTTATTGGTGACTGGGGCTTCTCTACTTGATTAGGATGTAGCTCGGGTATATCGATGTAAGAGAAGAACGGCTCCCTCTGATTATTACTGTGGTTGATGTGTAGCTTCGTATTATTGAAACGTGTCGCTTAAATCCCAGCGAAGTTGTCAGTCTCTTAAACGACTAAAATAGTTTTTGACAGCTCTTCTCTTTCACTTCAACATTTCTTCAGGTCTTCACCAGCTTACACAGGAGTTAGTTTATATTCTATACGAGACATTTTGGACTCCTGATTAATCATTGTGACCCTGTTCTCTGTCTTTGTTGTCGTCTCTCAGGTGAAGAGCGAGCCAGACTCTCCCTCCTCGGTCGGAGTGATGGACCGTTCCCGACTGCTCCTCTGCGCCCTGACGTTCTTCTGCCTCTCCCTAAACCCTCTGCCCTCTTTGCTGGGCTCGGAGGCCTCAGGGAGCCCCAGCCTGTCTACAGGCCACGGCCCGACCAGAACGCTCTTCTGGTTCCCAAGTCACACGCAGGACTTTGGTGAGCGGTCGTGACCTCCCTATTTATCTTAAGTTTAAAAGAATAAATACAACAGTCCAGTCTGTCGAGTATTTGTCATAATTGAATTTGAGGAATCTTAGCTGTAAAATGTTCTAAAGCTTTCATTTCTTCTGCAGCGTCTTGGCTGCGGTGTCTCCTGCCGTGGGTGATGGTGTGGGTGCTGAGTGGGGTGGGAGCGGTGTGGGGCTGCGTCAGGGTGCTGTACCTGTGGGAGCCCGTCACTCCCCTTCACTCACCAAAGTCTGTGTCCTTCTGGAGGCACCGCAAACAGGCAGATCTGCATCTCAACAGGGTGAGTAACGCTCTGGGATCAGGAGGCCTCAAACACATCCAAAACAGAACCATTTGGGACGCTAGTGCGTTCAGGGATTCAAAAATGAGTGAGGTAGCGTTTCCAAATATAGAAAAACTGATCACACTCGATGTGTTTCATGTGATGTAAATCCTGGATACGCTCATTTTCTCCAATTTGGGACGTGCTCAGAGATCTGGATTTGATTTTTTTTTCCCACTTCACACAGTTTTGCTTTGATTCTCACCGTTTTGATGTCTCAGTTTAGCCCGCCTGTTCCCTGCCTGGCTTTATTTTTAGCGTTTGCTCAAATCATCTTCATATCTGAGTCGTGACCCCCACACAACAGTCTGAACTGAATACTGAACAGCTCACCGCTTCTCTGCTGCAGGGAGATTACACGGCAGCGATGGCCAGTTTAGAAACCTGCCTGTCTGTCTTGACGAGAGCTCTTCCCTCAACCTCTCTGGATTTGGTCTGCTCGCTCTCTTGGAATTTGATTCGCTACTGCCTGCATCGTCCGACTCCTCTGGGCTGGCTGGTTCACCAGATTGGAGGAAAGCACGAGGGGGATGAGGCGAGGACGAGCGCAAAGGATGCTGCGCTGGTTTACCACCGGCTGAGCCAATTGCAGCTCACAGGTGAGCGTTGAGGAAAGAAAACGGGCTGATGTTGTTTGCTACATGACTGTACGATCATATTCAATTAAGAACCAGTTTTTATTTGTTTTGCTTCCACTCTGACATGCCAGGAAGATTTCAGCTTAGTGATACAATATCTGCTCTCTCTGTCTCTGCAGGAAAGCTGCCTCAGCGGAGCAGCCTGTGGGCTTTGTCTCTGTCTCTGAGTGCTGTCAACCTCAGCGAGAGCGCCCAGGGGAAGATGGCCCCCGCACAGCTCGCCCAGATTTATGTCACCGCAGCAACAGCCCTGCGCACTGTGCTGGGCCACCATCTCTCCTGTCTGCCTGTACGTCTCCTGTCTGGTCCATCATCACTGTTCTCAAACGCAACCTTTCCATCACTAGCATCGTTTCCACTGTGTCTGTCTCCCAGGGTTACCTGTTGGGTTGTGCGGAGAGCGTAGCGAACCAATCGGAGACCAGGCCGATCCCCGACTGTCTGCGCTGGCTCTTCACTCCGCTGGGCAGGCAGTTCTTCCTGAGCTGCGATTGGTCGGTGAAGTCGGAGAGCAGCGACGGCGTGTACACCTCTCAGAGAGACCCGGGTATGTCGCGAGGCAGAATCAGAAAGGCTTTACGTATTGAAGTTCTTTATTTATTGATCCCTGAGGGGAAATCGCTTATGTTGCTCCCGTTCAAAAACTTCAAACTAAGCAGCAGAACTAATACAAGACAAACAAAGGTGCCCTAGAATTATAAACACAAGTAGAAAGTGTTGGCATAGAATATAAAAAATGTACATTGTACTCGGAAATAAAAATATAAGCTTACGATGTCATAAATACCAATCGACTTACAACTGTGGTAAAGTGCAAGTAGTTATTGCACATTGAGTGTCAGCTCAAGAAGAGATGATGAGTTAACTGCTGGCAGGTGAAGCTAAATAAGTCCAGAGTGTGTGACAGTCTGAGTGAGGAGTTGTAGAGTTTAATGGCCACAGTCAGGAATTATTTCCTGTTGTGCTCTGTGGTGCGTTTTGGTGGAATGAGTCTGTTGCTGAATGAATATATTCAACATAACTGTTGCATAATGTTGTTGTTTTCGTCAGGACTCTTTCTGTTCTTTTACATTTTAAATCCAACCAAGTCCCATTTGAACCATTTTACTTGGTATAAAGGAAATAATAATACAGGATTATGTCACTTACAGCTAAACACTGTGCTATAATTGGCCTGTTTTCCTCTCGATGCCCTCTTAGCTGACCCCATCGCCCAGCTGCATCGCTGCTTCTGCAGGAAGCTTCTGGAGAGAGCCGTTCACACCCTCATCCAGCCGCAGGGCGACTCTGACGCAGACAAACGCAAGAACGACTCTGGGTAAGGCGGGAACAGCAGCAGCGCTGTCTGGTTTGAATTCAGGATTCACTCTGTATGTGTTAAATAGGCTGAAACGATTTTGGATAAATGTCTCATTTAAATTTCTCCGACATTTGATTTACAGTCATTTTTTTCAAAAGTTAAGCTTCACTTCAATCGTGTTATAGATTTAAAATGTAATAGAGGATCACATGTATTTGTGAAACCACTGATACAACAGTTTAAACTGTGGGTCAGATTTGCTGCAACATGTAAGTTGTGTGGCCATTAGATACTGAGACTGGGCTGATGTCAGTGGAACCTAAACCTCGTCGTGTACGTGCATCACTGGACACCGTAAACAACCCCTGAACGGTTCACTCTGCTCACATTGAATACTGCTGGATTACAGCATTCGTCTCATTATTTAACAGCCACACTTTATATATTCTGAATTGCAGCCTTCATGATAAGCTCATTGTGTGGTTTCAAATTTCAGTTTTGACTTTAAATCAATTGATTGTTCAGCCCTGCTGTAGGCACCTGTTTATTGTTTCTGCTCTCACTCTTTCAGGGAGTTTTCCAGCGCCCTGGAGTTTCTTCAGCTGTTGAACAGCTGTACAGAGGACTCTCCTTCCCCTCCGCCTCCTTTCCCAACTCCACCCAATCACACCACCATTCCAGGTATGAATAGGACCAAGCGAAGCAACCCTGCCCGTTTACAAAGAAGCATGAATCATAATCTGTGTTTTGTGTGGCCAAAAGGTCACGGTTCAGTCGTGGCATTAGCACGGCGCTTTAGTGGTCCAATCACAAGTGAGCTGCTGTGAATACGTTAGTTCACACCTCGTATTGGAATTCATCTCAACACGCGTGATCAGACTTTAATTCCCCACTCTGTATGCAAATGAATTCACATCATTTTTCATTTTCAAAGACTGTAGCACAAAGCAGCTACTGCAGGTTTTCCCCAGCAAATACACACACACACACACACACACACACACACAGGGTTTATTACTGCCACAAACCACACATGTAACTTCAGAGATGATGGATGTGCGCTCCACGCCGTAGTGTTTGGCTTCTGCCGCTCCGTTTCTCTGTAGAACAAAACAGACTCTTCCAAGAGAGGCTACATGTGGTTGGCGTCCTCTAACTGGTGTGGTTTATCTCAGAGTGGCAGCTCCAGATCCCAGCGTGCTACTGGGAGACAGAGAGACGGATGAGGCAATGCATTATAGGTGTGCCAGTCAACTCGGTCTGGCACTGGTCCCTGAACCAATCGGCCCAGCCTCCCCTCCAATCGCTGAGCGGAACCACACCCCACCGAGACCAAATGCAATTTTATCCTTACTGGCAGGAGGCATCAAATCATTAGTCTGCCTGGAACTCCAAGAACAAGAAGTAGAAATGAAAGGAGTATTTCTTGAAATGTTCCAGGCAGACCAAATCACCCAAATCTCATCTCAGTAGACAGACAGAAGTTTAACGTTAAACTATTACAGAAGGAGACGGAGTACATTCTTCTTCTGTTCAGTAGGAGATCCTTCAGTAGATCAGGGACACGTTCACCTATCTGCTGGTAGAAGGATGCAGCAGCTTTGGATCCCGGCGCCTCCTCAACGCATCACACCTGCGTTTAGAGCAGCTCACTTGTGATCAGATCACCCCGAGACACGTGTTGGTGCCAGCTGTGAACAAGGCCACTTCCTCTGCAGTTAGGATTAACCAGCTGAGCTATCTCAGTCATTACAGCCGACCTGAATGGATTTGCTTTGCTCCAGAAGCACGCTGATACCTGATAGCTTGTAGGATTAACTTTTTGTTGGAAAAATTACACTGGCAGACTTACAATTTCCTCCGTTATCTCCTTCCTTTTTTTTTTTTTTCTGCTGCCAGTGGGCGACCCGGTGAGTCGCTGGTGGGCTTTGGTGCTGAAGGCGGCCGTGCACTGGCTGCAGGGTGACGACGTCGCAGTGAGGTCGCTTCTGGCAGAAGCGGAGCGGATGCCAAGAGCTCTGCACATTCTCGAGTAAGTGAAATAAACCAGCTCCCAGTACAAGTATCTACAAGTGATTAATGAAATAAAAAAACAAAGAAAGTCTTGATAAGAATCTTGAACAATGAGCCGATTCTGTTTAGATGTTACAGCTGCAGGCCTGAACTGTTAACTGTTGCACAAGCTGATCTGTTTTGTGGAATAGATGAGCTCAAACAGCAGATTTACACCCAGTGGATCTGCAAGCTAAGCAAAGTTCTAAAACAAGTCAATCAAAAGTTTGGAGAAAAAAAAATCACCTGACCATTCCCGCTGTCCCTCTGTGTGTTTCAGCCACCCTCTGCCCAAGGCTGTGCTGCTCCTCTGCAAGGCGGTTCAGATGAGTCTGTCTCCTCTGAAAGGAGAGGGAGCAGTGGCCTGCCTGTCCCACTGCGACAGAGCCAGCAGCTACCTGCGCTCCAGCATCTCGGTGCCACTCGCACAGTCGGGGAACTGGCTCAACAAGGTAGAGTGCAAAGAGTTTGTTCCCAGCTCCCCAAACACAGGCGCTGCTCTAATGTGGAGGTTAGAGGCGGCCGTCTTGGACACGTATAGGATGTACAGACATGAATCCTTAAAGTGCACGTTTCATTTCAACATATCCTGAAGTCGCTGTGCTGAAGGCTGAACTATGTACGCACACACACACACACACACACACACACACACTGCATGCTGTGAGGACAGGCTGACGTGGGGCTGTGTGTGTGCGCAGTGTGGGTGGCAGGAGGTGGCTGTGGTGCATTGTAGTTGCATTGCATGATCCTGAAGTCGAGTGCAATGTGTCTGCAGTGCAGTACAGAGGCCTCCCCGATCTGCACGCACCCGCTACACACCCCAACGCCTGACATTAAACAGCGCTGAATGTCGGTAGTAGTTTGACTTGTTGGTTTGTGGCATCGGGTAAGCTGCACCTGTAGCAGTGGGGGTTAGTTGGCGGCGGTGGGTTGTGATGGTCACATCTGAATCATACCTCTTGTGTGCGTCAAGTAAACCCGTCCAGATGTTTATATGTACCCAACAGCTTCTCTTTGTCTTCCAAGGGGGTTGAGCTGCTGGTCTGTGATCTTCTCCTGACCTTGAGGACCAGTTTATGGCAGCGGGGAGGCAGCACTAATGGAGAACCTGGCCCGGCTCCTGGATCCCAGTTGGCCGGTTTCCAGAGGGACCTCAGCGCACTCAGAAAGCTCACGCAGTGCTACAGACAGGCTCAACACAAGGTACAGCTATGGCAAGATGAAGTTCAGATGCATAAGGAACCAGCAGAGTTTAGCTGCTGGTAGCTGCGATAAACAACTAAAGGATGCTGGTGGAGGTTACTGCACTGAGCTAAGCTCCTGAGGTGGTGTTGGTTGCACCTGCGTCTGCTCGTCTGGTGAGAGCGACAGAGGAGAGCTGCAGGAGGAAGCGTTTTTCACTTCTGCTTTGTGTGGTTTTTTTTGTTTTTTTTTTTCCCTCCTCCAGATTTCGTAGCTCTTCGCCTGAATCACCTTCGGTTGATTACCTTCCAGCCGAAACATCAATTTATAATGATTTCAATTTGAAAAGCTGCAAACATTTTTAAAGCCCTCACAAGACGTGTAATGGGAAAGGATGGAAGTAAGAGAAGACCTAAATACGTTTATCTAGCTTCAATGAATCCCAAAACGTGCTCGTGGGTTTGAAAGACCTGATGTCTTCACCTGTCTATCAGAGTGGAGACTGTAAGGAAGGATGGACAGATATTTAACTTTCCAACAGTCCCTGAACTAGTTCTGTGGACATGACATTTATTCAAAATCACTTTAAAATTCGGCAAGAATAAACCATTTGGGGCTGCAGGTGGCTCGCAGGTAGAAGGTCGCCGGTTCACGTCCCGGTGAGGACACCCGGGATCTTCCTGCGTGGAGTCTCCATGTTCTCCCCGTGCAGCGTGGGTCCTCTCCGGGTTCTCCGGCTTCCTCCCACAGTCCAGAAACATGCTGAGGTTAATTGGCGAATCTACTGACCGTGTAGAATTTGTTCTTTTTTATGTTTTATGGCTTTCTAACTTTGTTGTAGCAGCACAGAAGACGCTCTACTTCTGCTCCCACACAGTTGCAGGACTTTATATTGTGGTGAGGAATGAGCCTGGAGTCCAGAAAGAAAAAACAAACACCCATAAACTGCTTCTGTTTTAGAGGGTTAACAAAACTTTGCCCTGCACTCACAACAAGCCTGTAAATCACCTGGGACCCGCTTATCTTGTTCGTGATGATTCTAAATCACCGTCGGCGGCCGCAGAAATCTCCCCACAGTTAACACACCATCAATTATATTTGTCAGATTTACTGGAGGAGCCGTTACAGCTCCCCGAGGGTCTTTAACCTTCAGCATTACTTGTTGTTTTGTCTTATGCGCCACTCGGAGAAACACGTTTTTTCTTTTTCTGTGTCGTTTTATGAGGTTCAGTAGCGAGGCCACTAACTGAGTCACTGTGAGACGCTTCGCTTAGAAACCTCCGCTGAAGGCAGAATATTCAGTGAAGGATCAGAGTTCTGTTTTTCTAGGCTGTTATGTTTTGCATTTATTAGATATTGCAGCAGAGAAAGAGAGGAGATGTGAGGAAAGGCAGCAAAGGGCCAGCCGGTTGGGAGTTTAATCAGCTGCTGAAGGCATCTTGTGGTGTCCACCCTGAGCGTTCAGCCACCGGGCCGTCTGGATCAGGGGTTTTTAAATACTCTGTAATGACAGTGATTGAGGTTGTTTTCTTTTTCCACCCCTCAGGTGTTCCTTCATGAGACCACAGTGAGGCTGATGGCTGGAGCCAGTCCCACAAGGACTCACCAGCTGCTGGAGCACAACCTCCGACGCAGGACGCACAACTCCTACACAGCCGGTGAGCAAGACTCCAACTCACACAGTGATTACACACCACAGACTCATACCGGCACACAGAATAGAGCTTCAACTGTAGTGCCTGGTTAGAATCAGACACTGCTGTAGTTCTTAGCTCTTAATGGAAAAATTGAAATACTGTAATTTCTGGACTATTGAGCACCTGAATATAAGCTCCACCCACTAACTTTAAAAAGAAAACAAATGTGTACATATATCAGCTGCACTTGTCTATAAGCTGCAGGTGTCCACGTTTTAAACTTTTAATTAAATACGGTAACATACACAAATGCTTTTTTCTGAACAGTTCCTGTAGCACGACTGGTTAAGAAAATAAAAACTACAGCAGCCGACCAGGAAAAGTCATTGATCGCTATCTTCATCTTCCTCCTGAAAACCACTAAAGTCTTCAGTGTTGGAGTTGAACAGCCTCAGATTTACTTCGTCACACACTCTCAACGTCACTTTCGTCTCGAGACAAATTCGTAAAATCCGTCGTAAAATAAATTAGCAGCACCGTTGTTGAAAGCGTGTAAAAAAAAGTAGCAGCTTATAATCCAGACATTACGGTAGTACGCAGACACACATCTAAGTTCCCACATACACTGAAGCAGGAGTCACTCATCTGCCTTTTTCTTCCTCCAACCGTCAGATGGTGAGTGTGTTCTGGGTGAGAGGGAGCGGGCTCACGCCATCCTGCTCGCCTGCCGCCACCTGCCCATGCCTCTGCTCACGCCGCCGGGACACCGCGCCCGCCTGCTGGCCGAGGCCAAGCGAACCCTGGAGCGGGTGGGAGACCGCCGGTCCCTGCAGGACTGTCAGCAGATCCTGCTGCGCCTCAGCGGGGGCACCACCATCGCCGCTTCCTGAGCGCAAGCGCACGCCGGGATGTTGACGAGGCGACTCATCGTGTAATTCTCCAATCGACGGCTATTCACACCGATCAAAGGACAGAAACGTTGCTTCAAACTCCCGCATGCACACCTTCACACAGACTGCTCTTATTTTATTTACTCTCATAGCTCCGTTTGTCAGCCCTACATGTGCTGCACATTTATGTTGCTTACTTGCGTTGTTGCAGCACAATCACCCCACCTGCTGGTCGCTAGCGGAACTGTGCTGGCCGGCCGCCTCGTCTCCAAACAATACCACACAACAAGGAAAATCAGGTTCAACAGGCCCCAAAGGGAAAAGGGACGATTCCTCTAATAGCTGTTTGAATTAGTGCGACACAGCAGTGCATTGATTAGCTGTAGCACACCGAGCTGTACAATCATTATTGGCACACGGCGGCGTGGGCGCTACGGTAACCGTCTCATTTAATTTGCGAGCATCGATGAAGGGCTTCGGATGCCGACAGATAGACTAGCTTGCTTTCAACCATACAGTGCTGAGTAGTGTCTCCTCTTATCTACCTCAAATACCGTACAATGCCAGCGTTGTACCGTGGAGCAAAATAGGATACTTGGGCGCCCTGAATTTGGAATAATTGATAAAGCGTAAAGTTCGATTCATTCTAATAAAATCATGCTGACCTGCTTCACTTTTGACTCGCTGTCTGCAAGAACGACGGACGGCTGCTGAACACGAAGCAGGAAAAGTAGTTTGGATGCGTCTAAATAACGGCGTGAAGCAGGCTGAGCTGGTGAGCTTTTTAAAAAAACGCCCGTAAAATAAAAAAAGCGCGCGGATGCATATATAAATGACATAAAAAACGACTTGCGCTCGAACTCGCAATGTGATTGTATATAGGTTGTACATAGGCAAATAAGCAGGAGTAGATTAAAGTTCTTAATTATTGTTTGAGAGAAGACACCTTGAAAACAATCAGATGTAAAGTCAAAGTCTGGACGCTCCGACCAGGAGAGCGAGGTCAACTTCTCAACCTTAAAGTCATTCTCCGCCAAACACTGTCATCTCACCAAACACCTGCTGTCGCCCTGCACGGCGGCGTCAGAAAACAGCGGTTATGGTTGCTTTCAATTCACTGTAATGACAAGTTTCTGCTGCAGGAAAGCATCCAAGAGTCAGATTATTCCACCTTTCTGCTCCGTCTGGCGGTAAAAGCCGCCTTTCACATGCAGGCGGGTGTCGGAGAGTCAGAGGATGTTTGCCGGCGTTTCACTTTAAGGTCCGTTTCAGCAAAAATGGTCCGAACACGGCGATGAAAGTGAGGAATGTTGTGTCTTCACCTATGAGTGAAGCTCTCAAGCAAAATGGCCTTGATGTTATGTATAAAAAAAGTAATTTTATCACACGTGGTCGTGTAGGACAGATGGAGTATCTGTGTGAAATCTTTTTATTTGTAATTGTTGACTCACACGCGGCACAGCACTTCTTTCATTCCCGTTTCTGTGCTCTGATTATCTTATTTAATGGTCGTGATATTAATATAAATGCTTTTTTTCGGGGGAGGGGCCAGTTTTGCAGTTTTGTCATCGTTATTGTTTTGTATCGGTCAAAGCAGCCTCTAGGGTCCGAGACCGTCGGTGGGAGGATCTCGACTAGAACCATGTTTTATATTTTATTGAATAAGCGAATCCCTCGTTTAAACGTTTAGCTCAGCATTTTAGGATGTTTGTTTATAGCACACACTGAAATTTCTCGCAGATTTTAAAGTACAAGAGAAAGACACGAGGCTACTATTAGAACTTCCTAGAACTCGTTCTTCCAGGTCAACCCAAGTCCAGGAGGACTGAAAATACTTCTATCGGTTTAGATTTAGCTTTCCTGGTTGGTGGAAGTCCACAGAGGAGGAAGCAGTGCTTAGACAGCAGGCTGCAGGGTTTTTGCTATCATTATAATTATGTTACTTTATTTTTTTGTCTTTTCCCTTTTGAGGTGTTTCATTGTCTGAATTTCTGTGTTCATTTTGATGTTTTCTAATAAAACAACACATGACAGTGTTTGGCTTCTACCATCTTTGTGTTGAGGGTGTGTAATACGGGAAGTACAGTATCAGCGAAGAGACTGACACAAAAAAAAGGCAGATTATTGCATTTCACGTTCCGTTTCGACGTGGGAGTTGGCCGGGTGTGAATGCCAGTAAATCTGATAACGATGTAGGTGTGAAGTTTAATGGTTTTCTCTGTCAAAGACTCTGTGTGGCTCAAATGAGACGCTTCACACAGAGACTCCTGGATACATGATGAGGTGTGACGGGAGGTCAGGAGGAGCCACTTACATCTGTGAAATGCTTCAGAGGTGGATCGGTGGTTAGCAGGTCGCTGGTTCACATCCCGGTGAGGACACCCGGGATCTTCCTGCGTGGAGTCTCCATGTTCTCCCCGTGCAGCGTGGGTTCTCTCCGGGTTCTCCGGCTTCCTCCCACAGTCCACAAACATGCTGAGGTTAATTGGTGATTGTAAATTGTCCGTAGGTGTGAATGTGAGTGTGCTTGGTTGTCTGTCTCTAAGTGTAGCCCTGTGATAGACTGGTTACCTGTCCAGGTGAACCTGCCTTCACCCTGAGTCAGCTGGGATAGACTCCAGCCCCCCATGACCCGAGTGAGGATTAAGCGGTGTATAGATAATGGATGGATGGATGCTTCAGAGGATAGAATTATGATATTGGACCAGCTTAAACTGACCTCATTTGTTTGTGGTAAAGACCAAACATGCTTCTAGTTGATATTATTAACAAAATTACCTCAATAAAGTTCGAAAGTCAGCATCAGATTGAGCAGTAAGCAACCAGTTTTAATTCACATTTTAATGATGTACAACCATGTTAGAGATTTTTGGTGAATCCTTGAATGCTGACCGAAACCCACTTTTAAAAACGCATGTCGACCACCTAAAACCATTTCCAGATCTAAAAGTAACTGTATGAAATAGTCAAATCTGGACTAGGTTGTCTACTACACAGGATAAATGGTCTTTAAAACAACATCTCTGAATTGTGAAACCTGTATTCTATATATGAAAGTACACTAAAGGGAGATTTGTGTGATTTTCTTAACATGTGGACCACATTAGACCAGGTCCAGATCTACATACAGACTTGTTACATCTGGAATAGACTGTCCTGTGAGCGTCTACAAAAAACAGCATTCAATGAATTCTGAATTTTTTTTAATTCTATTTATGCAAATAGGAATAATGGGAGGTTTTTCACTGGGACCACATCAGACTGGGTCCAGATCTAAAACCACTATATATATATTCTGATTAAATGTGGATGTGATTATCTCAGAGAGGCTAAATATCGTTAAAATAAAGTCTCTGCTTTTTGAAAACCTATGTCTGACAAAAAAAACAGAATGAAAAAAAAACTGAGATTTTACTGCTGGAGTTTTGTTACGTTCGTGTTTCTCGTCGGACAATTTTATCGACGTGCCGCTGAGTGAGAGAAACCGGAAGTAGCTCACCAACTAACTCACGTGTACAACATGAAAAACAGAAGAAAACACAACAATGAGCCGAAAAAGGCTAAATTCAAACCAGGATCCAAGAAAAGGGAGAACAAATGCATCATAACGTTTGACGACAAAGACAGACAGTAAGTTGGTTTTATTTATCCGCTGCTGTTAGCTAGCATCCTAGCATTAGCATCAACAACCACTGGCTTGGTTTAGCATCGAGTTAGCATCAAGTCTCTAACAAGTGTTTTTGTTCATATTAAAATCAATGGATGTGTGTCAACAACCTATGGTGTGTGTGTAGGTTGGGACAGAATTAGAATAAGAGTTTTTAGATGCCTGCAGGTCTGAGAGTGAGGAGATAAACAGCAGCAGGTTTTCATTTCTTTGTGCATCACATTGTGAAATATTAGCTTTGACTCCTCAGTAGTGACATAAACCTGAATAAGCCGGTGTGTCAGCTGTAAACAGGACGTTTCACTTAAAAATTCTGATTCGTTTTATTGTCATTGCAGTACAACGAAATGCAAGGTGCAGGCCTGTCAGTGTAAAAAATATAAAAAGCTTTGTAAACAACTATATACAACATAATAATAAAACTATATATAAAGATGAAATTACATAATAAGCTTGAACACGGTGTTTATTGCACGGAGGTAGTTGCATATTAACAATATATTGCTCTTATTATGATAAAGAGGCATTCATGGCTCTGACAGCAGTTGGAAAGAAGCTGCGTTTCAGTCTGTTAGTCCTGGTTCTGATGGTCCTGTACCGTCTGGCCCGGCTGGTAGGAGTCCTTCAAGATGGTGTCGGCTCTCCTGAGAAGAGCCGTGAAGGTCCTCCAGTGTGGACAGAGGGCACCCAGTGACCTTCTCAGTGATGTTGGTGACCCTCTGGTCATGTAGCTAGCTTAGTTTAACTTTTAATTTATGAATTTATTTACAAATGGATCATCTTCCAACACCGTCTTCTGTCATGTAGCCTCATATCGCCACACTCCCAACTCTGTGCTTTACTGTCAGGACCACACATCCACTGTGGTAGTCCAGACCAGGATCACACAAAACATGCTGGACTTCTGTTCACTTTTGTTGCCTTGAGGTTCTGCTCTGGGGCCTGTATTTTCAGTAAAGTCTTTCTAAAGTGTGTGTTTTATTTTGCTGTTGATATGATACGATTTGGAATCATCTGACTTGTGCACTTGTGGTGTGCTTCTGCTGTTTAACCCGCTGACACATTTAAAAACTGGGCACTTTCTTAAGTTTCTTCCTCTGCTACCCTGTCAGGGAATATCTCACCGGCTTCCATAAACGAAAAGTGGAACGGAGGAAGGCGGCGGTGGCAGAGCTTCGAAAGAAAATCAAGGAAGAGCAGATCAGAGTCAGAGAAGAAGTAAGTAAAGTAGCGCAAATTTAAATTACGATGTCTGTCAAACTTAAATCCATGTAATGAAAGCATGTCTTGGCGTTGAGTTTGTGTGTCTGTTTTCAGAGGCATAAGGAATACATAAAGATGCTGAAGGAGAGGACGGACGCTCTCGGTGAGTAAAACAGGAAGTCTGGTCGCTTCACCGATTCAAACCTCAGAATCTGTAGTTTTCTTATCTGTTCGATGCATCTCACAGCGGAGGCCGAAGACGATCTGGAAGATGCCATAACCGCCACGACGGAGTCTGTGCAGTACGATCACCCGAACCACACAGTTACCGTGACGACCATCAGTGATCTTGACCTGACGGGGGCTCACCTGCTCGGTCCTGCAGCACACCAGGTAAACGTTCGAGGCTTTAAAGGCCAGTGTTCATGTGGGTTTATACGTCACTTTTACTGCTTCACGTTGTCTCTGTGACAGAAATCACAGTGGAGGCAACAAAACAGCATTAACACTGAGAATCTCTGCTTTAAAGGCTGACGGAGGGAACGAGGACGAAGAAAAGGGTGAAGAAGAAAAAGAAGAGGAGAAAACACTTGCGATGCCGAAAAAAGCCGGGAATCCAATCGTCAACAAAAAGTAAGCTGCTCATCAGTCACATGAACATCAACGAGAGGCCTGAGCTCCAGAGCAGTCCTGGTGCACCAGCGCAGGATAGAGATGCACCTAAAACTTTGGTTTAGCTCAGATAATAACAGCATTTCCAGTTGATTATAAAAGCCAGAACACTGCAAGTAGGAAAACACACGCAAACACCAGAATGGAATCACCACAGATTTTGTAACTGGCTATCACCTCTAACAAGCAAATAGTCGGATGTACCAGCATGTACAGATGCCACTGATGTATGCAGCACTGATGCTAAAACAGAACGACAACCTGCAGTGGCTCAATCTTACAGTCGAGCTACAGAAACACCTGCACAGACAGTAGGAGCAACAGGAGCTCACAGCACCCGGCTGAGCGGCGCTTGTGATGCTGCATGTGTGTGGGGGTTAAAAAAAAAAAAGGATTTATTTATTTTTTAATAGCTACACCATCCTGACCCGTATAAGAGACAATCTTCACCATCCGATCTGCAAAAATAAGCATTAATCAACTAACTGACCCCGACCCACTGTTCATCAATCCATTATCTACACACCACTTAATCCTCACCAGGGTCATGGGGGGCTGGAGTCTATCCCAGCTGACTCAGGGTGAAGGCAGGTTCACCTGGACAGGTAACCAGTCTATCACAGGGCTACACTTAGAGACAGACAACCAAGCACACTCACATTCACACCTACGGACAATTTACAATCACCAATTAACCTCAGCATGTTTGTGGACTGTGGGAGGAAGCCAGAGAACCCGGAGAGAACCCACGCTGCACGGGGAGAACATGGAGACTCCACGCAGAAAGATCCCGGCGACGATGCTAACCAGCGACCTTCTAGCTGCGAGGCGACGGTGCTAACCACAGAGACACCTGCAGCAATCCAAACCCACTGTGACGTTTCTAATTCTACAGTTATCTTTATTCTCTCATTACGACTGATTTGTTTTAACTCTGTGTTAAAGTAACGAGTGAGCACACCTTCAAACTTTATTCAATAGACTGAGATTATTCACATCACGCATGAGAGGACCTGGAGAGAGAATGACAGAGAGCGGAGGACAATGTGTGAGGTGGTCCAGTAATCACAGCGGAGCTTATTGTAAGTTATTTATAGCCGATGTCGTTGGAACCACGTTGACTACCCGCCCGGCCTGCGCTCTGGGCTTTGGCAGCTTTTGTGTCATTTTAAATTAAATTCCCTCCACATCCCAACAACACAGCGGTGGCATCATGTCTGTCTTAAAATGTTCTTTTTTTTGTCTCGTCCGACCGGCTCCTCTGACTCCGGCTGTATTTTTGTCTCTCTCCCCCGCTGCTGCAGGATCCGCTCCATGACGGCGGCGCTTAACACTTACACCACCAAGCGGAAGAGGAAAGGGAAGCAGGAAGGCCGAGGCAGACAGGGCCATCCGACAGACAAGAGACCGGCCATCACAGAGAGCAAACACAAAGGCGGAAAGACCAGCAAGCGGCAGAGACGTCGACAGACTGGGAAGAGGGTGCATCATCAGGAATGAGAGGGTGTAGAAAGCCCACGTCGGGTCTAAATCCTGAAGACTTTGTGTGTCAATAAACTGGACTTTGGAGTATTTATGCCCCCGTGTTTGAGCAGAATGTGCCGAGAAGTGTCTAAAAATGAAGCTGATGTGGACGCTCCGTGCTGGAACCTGCCTCTTGAAGTCTCATGGTCATATTTGTGCGTTTTTCAGCTGTTTTTCTAGTGTTTTTTCTGAACAAACTTCACTGTATTAACTTCAATTTTAATTAAAATAAAAATCCATCTTTCCTAATGAGCTCACATTGCAGTCATGTCCCACACTGTCAGAGCGCTCTATGAGGAATTCTGTCCCTCTGAGCTCTATTGTTTAATAGGAAACCTGATGCTGTTGTCAACATCCTCTGTAGAACATCAGGAAATCAACCCTTAGCTCTGCGTTTCCTCACAGCCCAGAATTACCTGGGTCTCATCTAAAGGAGAACACGCCAGTTTCTGGACTCGCTGTTGGAACGTTTCCCAGCGCAGCCAGTGGTTCTAATGTATGTTAAACACCCACATCTCACCGGTGTTTATTTATTTACGTTAACCTGAGCCAGCGTGTGCCAGCTGTCACTAGCATGAGCGTTTCATTTCGCTTTCTAAAGCCCATGATATTTAATACAACCGCTCAATAGAGGAACCAGCAGGCCACTGGCTCCATGTTGGTTCGAGGCCGCCTGCGCTCCACCATCTCCGCTGTGGTAACTGAGAGCCACCATGGCTGTCGGGGATGCTTCAGTTTCACTCATTGTCAGGGCAGCCAATCGGGATGGGTTTGGGCGTTTGGCAGCCCAGGAGGATAGAGAACATGGGGAAGAGGAGGCATGTGCCTGATGGGGGTCTGATGGACAGTTCATCCTCAAACTCGTCATGACACATTCAAAGTGCAGCTGACAGCAGGAGCCCCTCTCGTCAGGTAACTCTCATTTCTCTTATGTGTTTGGATTATTTTCCACGCCCTTCGCTGTGCTGCTTTGTACAGCCTTGGTAGAGGATTGTACATATTGTGTAGCATTAGATGCTGTCGTGCATGTAAAAGCTGTTCCGTTACAGTGCATGTGCCTTGTGGTTTGTAGTAATGCAACTCTGGAGCGCTTTGACGGTGCTCACGCTGGATAGTATTTCACTGTCCTTTAGTGTGATTAGTTATCGCATAGCTTAACAGTTCTGCTTCAGATAAACACCCGCTTTGCTCTGGACACCTGCTAGAATGTCACTGCAAGACTCAACAGAAGATAGTTTTATAATAATCTTGCTTTTTCTTACGTCGTCTCCCACTTGGTTGTGGAAGACGCCCTGCAAGTTATGGGAGATATTTTAGTGCTGAAACCTGCCTCTGCATCAGCACCTTCCCCTGTGGTTTTAGAGTGTTTTAACTTCCATTTACCCTCATTTAAAGTGTTGGTACAGTTTGTGGTACAGTGTGTTTTATTGTGATGTTGCTTCTTGACTTGACTCTGCTGTTGTTTCTGTAGTTTTCTCTGTGGGATGCAATGAGCAGGCGGGTTCCTCCTCAGCACTCACCATGTCCCTGTCCGGCGACGAGCCCATCTGCCCCAAGTTCCAGCCCAACATCTTCGACCCCTCCCGCTGCCACGACTGCCTGCGCCAGAGGCACCTGCACACCTTCGCAGGGGAGGGCGCCGAGGTAGCGCCACAGCAGAAACCTCCAGCGGAGCCTGGAACTGGGGCTAAAACTGGGACGGCCGCCGGGATTGGAAATGGGATTGGGTCGAGCAAAGGGGTTTTGTTGACGCCGATTCCATCCCAGGCAGAGGAAAGAGACACCAGCAGCAAGGTAAGAAAGAAGAGAAGCCACAAAGGAAGAGGGAGGGAGATGAACAAGGCAGCTAGGTAACCAGGAGGTGAGGCGCTAATGAGAAACCCAGAGTACAGTATGTACTGAGTGATGGGATTAGCTGGACCTGAAGAAAGACGGGGAGACAAGAGCATTAGAGATCACAGGCTGAAGTCAGCATGACAACGAGGTTAGATGTAAAAAGACACACGGCGGTACCACTGTGCTGCTTGACTTACCTTTAACTGCTCTGGAGCTCAGAAATTGAGTTTCGTGTTTTGGATCTGACAATAAAATGTTCGACTTAAGCAAAAAGAACTTGCTCGACCCAAAAAAATCTGCTTCCACGGACTGGCAATTAAAGCACCTCCTACTCAAATGCAGACGGCATTAAACACAGCTGGTGAGATCATATGTGTTGCTTGCAAGCAAAAAAGAAAAGGTCAGAGAGGGAGAATGAGAGGTGGTGACGTGGAGCACGGTGGCAGTAGTGGCTCCTATTATAAATTAATGAAGCTGGATCACTTACTGCCCTCTTGGGAATCACTTGTAATATTAGACAGAGGTGCAATGTACAGACAGGATGGGCATGTTTCTGTACGGCAACTGTCACAACTCCTGCTGCTGTCTGTCTGTCCATTCTGCTTCCATGACGCTTGTGTGGCGACACTAATAGCTACTCGTCTCTAGTGTACATTAACCGGTACCATTACAGTTCCTCTGGTTTCTTACCTGTAGTTTCCTTGAGGTTGTAGGATTAATGCCGTTTTCTGACATTTACGGACAGTTTCAGTCAACTTTTTAAGACAGCATAGTTCAAAGTAAGGGTTTATGGCAAGAAAAAAAAGTAATCAAGTATTAATGAGGAAAGCCACGAGCCGGGTCGGGTTACAGAGGTGTAACCCTAATCGAACAGCAGACTGAACATGTGAGTGTTTCTCAGAGAGGACGGAGGGGACAGACACTATTCATCAAACCCGCGATTCTTCGGGATGAAGCCGGGCAGAGAGGTCTAGGACCGTTTTGCATCGTGTAGGGTCACTCTTTATCGTCAGTGGATGTAGTTGGTTTGAAAGCTGCCCTCTGACAGAGGAGTCATATTCACTCTCTGGCGAGCGCCACCTTTGTTTATACACACGGCCATTGTCAAGAGTGGCGTCAGTACTTCTTTGACTGAGGCTTGGAAGGAGACGGAGTTTGCCGTGACGCTGTGATTGGCCGGTGTCTTTCCTTGTCAACCTATCAGGAGGATTCCGACGGTCTGTCAGTGGTGAGCAGCTACTGTGATGTCAATGGAGGTCGTCTGGGTTATGAGGAGAGCTCGTTGTGCATCCTGAGCCCCGACTGTGAGCTTTATATCTGTGACGGCGACGACGACGACAGTACAGACAGGTAAGGATCCTGGATGGTAGGAGTAAGACACTTAGGAGAGCTAGTAAGGTAATCTAACCCCAGACCTGAATGTGTGTTTTAAGTGTTTCAGTATGCTAGATGTAGTGAGCAGTACTGTGTCGTATGTCGTCCTGTTTTCTCATGTGTTTTTAGTTTACCATGTGTTATACAATACATTTCCTTGTTGCTCTATGATATGTATCGTACTGCCTCCTCTTTGGCTCTCTCTCGGTCTCTCACCTCCCCATCTCTGCTCTCATCATTCTTCTCCCATCTCCTCTTCCACATAGCTGTCGTGACCAGAGCGACTACCAAGAGTTCAGCGGCTCTGCCAGTGCAGAGGACGATTACCTGCCGATACGTTCGACCAAACGCGCCATGACCCGACTTGACCCTCCACCTCACCGACCCAACCCTCGGGCCTGGATGGACGAAGCTCGGAGCAGAGACGGCTTCAGCAGACGCTCAGGTACCAGACTTCATCAGTCGTTTCATTAATTTCTTGGCTGAAATTAAACAAAGAGCTGGAACAGATGCAAAGCTTAGAAGAAGCGCACTAAGGAGAAGGACAAATGCAACACCTGAGCTCCCCTTTGAACACATGTAGTTCTGAATATTCCGTGCTGCAGTAGACTGAGTGTTCAGTAAACCTATGACTTACAGCACTTGACCAATCTATATCCAGTTACAGCAGAGGTGTTCTTTACTTGGCAATACTATTTGCTGTCACCAGCTGAGGTGTCCAAGAGCAATTATCAGTAATACAATATAGCTCGATTTGTGTCAGGAAACCTCAGGTAGTTCCTCAGCGGTTGAACTTTGATGTGCACATCTTTTATTTCTTTTATCTCTTACTCTTTTTATTTCTGTCTACGTCTGCTTTTCAAAATCTTCTTTTCTTTCAGAGTTAAAAGAAGACAGAGAGAGGCGTGAAAGTGGCTACTTCTCCCTGGGGAGGGCAGCCGGTGCCCGTTCTCTTCGAGATAACAGTCCACCTGCTCCTTTCCGGCATTTTGAGAGAGGTCACCCCATCTTCAGCAGCAGAAACGTTGAGCCCAAAGATATCATCCCCTTCAGAAACCCGAATCTCGGTGTGGCCTCAGAAAGGCCGATACCGGAGGCTCTGGATGAGGAGCTGCCTGTGGATATTCCTCCTGACCCCTACGAAATTGCGGTTGAGGTTGAGGCACAAGTCGGCCCTCGCTCTCCAAGCCCTACTCCTTTTAAGATAGCAGAGTCGCTGGCCTCAAGTTCCCGAAAGGGTTTCAGCAGCTCATATGGCAGAGGAAACCCGTCTTCTCATAGCTCTTCCTATCAACAGTCAGGGCGTTATGACTCCTCAAGGCAAGGCTCAGCTCTTCAGTCTCGCTCTTCCTCTCCATCACGTGGAAACTCACTATTTAGGCGCAGTGAGTCCACTGCTTCACTCAGCAGGCATAACTTTGATGGAGGAGGGTGGTCTAAAGGGACAGAGTCAGGATCTAGAAGTGCCTTGCAAGGGACACAGGGGCGACGTGTTGAGTCAGGGACTCTTCCAAGAAACTTCAAATCATTTGCTAGTTCAGTCAAATCCCAATCCAACACAGTGTCTGATTTTAGGGGTGCCTTGCGGAAAACAGAAGTAAATGGTTCTTCAAGTGGTCGCTATGGTGACAGCAGAAGTTCATCTCCCTCAAGGAGGGACTATAACTCTTCAGGCCAAATGTCTCTTCGCAAAACTGAAAGCACCACTAGCTTAGCACATGGACGTGGCAGCAGCAGCCGTACTGCCTCTCCATCTCGGAGAACTCCTGACAGTCTGCGTGACCGTCACAGTTCCTCACCGACAAGGAATAACTACAGCTCCTCTAGCCAGTCCCTCCTTCGTAAATCTGAATCAGTTCTGTCTTTAAATGGACGTAGTCACCATGGACGCTGTGGCTCCCCCATAAGAGAAGGCTATGATATTGAAAGCCAGGCTCTGCTGCGTAACCCAACAGCTAGCAATGGACTGAATGATCAAGAACATGAAGGCCCCACCACGTCCCCATCCAGACGAGGGTACGACAAACCAAGTCAATCCATCCTCCGAAAGACTGAACCAAGTACTGCTGGTAGCAGCCGAGGTCAGGGCAGCCGTTCATCCTCCCCTGGAAGGAGAGGCTATGAAAAACCTTCTCAGTACCAACTTAAGAAAACAGACACCAGTGGTTCACTACATGGTCGTAACCGTGAGAGTCGGAACTCTTCCCCTTCAAGGAGAAACTATGACGCTCCTTCCCAGTCTCTGCTGCGCAAGTCTGAATCTAACAACACAGTCAAAAGTCGTGACAGCTACAGTTCAGTGGCTGTAAGGAAAAGCTATGATGTTCCTGACCAACGTGCGCTACGGATATCAGAAGTTGGAACTTCCTTTAACAGCAAAACTCAAATCAGCCGCAACTCGTCCCCCTCTAGAAGAGCCAACCATGACCCGCCAGGCTACTCCATCCTCAGAACTGCCTCTAACGGAGACTCCAGTCGTTCCTTTCAGAGAAAAAACACTCACAGTGACACAAAACCTGACTCCAGTCGCTCACCACACTCGTGGAGGGAATCGACTCATTCCCTCCGCAGCTCTTCATTATCTCGCGCTGCTTCACCCTCTAGACACGCCACAAATGGCAACAGAACTGCTTTTGTCACATTGGAAAAACCCAGGAGCTCTGGCAGCATCAGATCAGGGAATGGTAGACATAGCCGTGAGGACCGCTGCTCGTCTCCTCATGACAAGAGGCTCTCGCACCGTGTACGGAGTCCATCTCCTTCACCTCAGATTCAGCTGCAGAGGCACACCTCCTCGCAAAGCTCCATGGAGTCGTCGGAGTCGGGCCGACTCTCGGTGGGCTCCACAGGACGGAACAGAGAGGAATACGCCATGATGGCTGACCTGCCAAAGGCCAAAATGATCCATCAGAGGGAGGGTCCGGGCCACATGGGACGACCCCAGAGCCAGCAGCCTGTTCGGAGACAGGAGCTCTTCAAACCCGCCAGGTCAGACTCACATGACCCAACAAGGCACAAAACAAGCTAGTTCATATTTATTTAACCCGCTGATAAACAAAACATGTGGATGCACGTTATCTTTAAAAAATTACACCATTTATCAGTCAGAAACCATGAAAACAGAAAGAATCATGGGATGTTTAATTGTTCGACAGTGTTTAAACTAATAATCTGTGATGTGCAGCTCTATAAATGGAACTAAATCCAAACCTAAAATGGTGAAATTTAATCAAAAACACTTTATTCTTCGTGTCTTGTTCAAAATACTCCAAAAAGAAAAAAAATCTGTGCAACGGAGAAGAAATGTTTGACTCAGCTGTGGACTATTCGACTGAACTGCAGGCTGTGTTTGCTCAGAGCAGATAGGAGACGAGTAAACAAATCAATAAAACAAATGCTGCACAGCTGAAAACCAGAGCAAGTATTTATTGGAAGGTCCGTTCAATGTGGTGAAATATCTTTGTAGAGTTGATGAAAAACATCTAGTTTGCAGAGGTTGTATAAATGTAAATAGTGAATTATCTACAGTATGCAGGGCGACCATTTCCACAGTATTGGTAAAACCTGTGCAGACTTGAAAAATGTTGGACATGTTGAGTCAGTTTTCGTATAATAAAAGAAATAAATTCAACTTTACTTTTCCTCTGATTACGGCTTTGTAACTTCTCGTCATGGTTGTGGTGTTTCCACAGAGGTGCAGCACTTCATCCTCATATAGATTATCAGACAAAATGGCCCAAAATATTTCCCTCGCTGGTTGTTTTTTTTTCCTTGTAGACCATCAGATTGGATGAATTTGATTAGACTGGACACACTGACAACCTGTTTGTTCTGTTGCAGCCACTCCCTGAGCAGGTTTCCCTCCAGAGAGTGGTTGGATACGGCGGACACCGACCGAGAATGGCACTACGGGGGCAGCGGGTATCTGTCTCGAGCCCACTCCTCCACCTCGTTACAGGTAGGCTGGTCGGGACACGATGCCAGCTTTATTAAAAAGCATTTAGTAAGTTGAGCTTCTTGATTTAGCTATCTCAATCTATCAGACTAAATGAAATCTTACAAGGAGAAAGGTATGTTTAGCAAAACTGGGATGTCTCAAAGCCCAGTGAGACGAGGACTGGAGCAGAGGGTGGCAGCAGCAGTATAGAGAGGGCTGGGAACTGGGCGTTAAAACCCTACAATGGTATGCGCACTGCATTAAGCACCTTTTTTCCCCCCCTGCACAATATAATCCACTGCATTGTGATTGTGCCCTGTGGCTTCCACCTGCCTGATATGTTAATGCTTAACTACATCTTCCACATACCACGCACCACATTTGGACAAAACAGTGTGTGGATGTGGAGTTTCTACGTTTGCTCAGTCAGACATCGATTATCTCCCTCTAACTGCAATCTGCTCTGTTCCAGAGGTCTGGCAGCCCCACGGCAGATGAGGGCAGTTCCTGGAAAGGTAATCATCACAGATCGGAACAAATGCAGGTATGTGCTACCACCCGTCTGTCTCCTCTCGCTGTGCTGTGTGTGTTTATGTGCCATATGGAGGAGGGGAAGCCACACAGTTTTCCTGCTATCACTAATATTTGTAATAAACCTGCCGCGCGCACACGGATCAATGCAAGTTTACTGCCGTCCACTGTTTCAGTAGATGCTATCTGTCTGTTACATATTTACCAGCGTTCACACACATCCCGTCTGTGGTTGTGAAGCTTCTAACTGGTTGGTGTATATCTACAACCACACTGCAGCACTCTCTTTGAATTCTTCTTTAACAGCCAGTAGCTGTGTGTCTGTGGGCTTCACCTACACCCTGCAGTCATTTCATAAGACCGACTGAGCTTTGTCGATTGTGGTCTGCTGGGGCATGTGTTGAAATTCCTGAACTGAAACCAATAGCTACCAGGAGAGGATTTTGGAGGGGGGAGTGCCACTTTATTTGCAAGCCTGAAAGATTTTCAGGCAGGAAAATGTGGCGAGTGAGTTTGTTCTTTGGAAAGAAGGGGGATAATTCAACTTCTACATATCAGGATTTTATATCGGCTCCCAGGACTGACACCTGAAGAGTCTTTTTTTGTTGTGATAACTTTTTAGCGGGCAGAGGAAGTGTTAAAGTCTTTTACTAAAGGACTAAAACACTCTGCTACAAGGAAAAGTCATGCATTTTTATCCGAACACACCTGGACAATCTTAGCAGCAAAAAGTTAATTCCATTAAATCATTTAGGTTGAAGATGATTTAATTAGAAGTTGGAATAACTCAAAAAGATTGACTTTGTAGAGGGTGGTGATGCATACAGAGCTTAACAAACGTATTAGACCAGCTGTCTAACTTGTTCAGCGCTGCATATATAAATATATAGACCGTCCAGCATCGTGAAGAGCTTTAATTCACACTCAGCTCTCCACGTTTTACCATTTTGAACAGAAATAAGGAACTGAATTCTCATTTTTATACCCACATTTGAGCCACTGGGCTCCTCTGAGAAGTGAGAAATTAATCAAGCATAACATTCAACCACTAAAACTAATTTTCCTGTTGAGGAATGAAAGCAAATAACTATAATTTGACATCTTCATCAATAAATATGGCTCATGTTGACTAATATTCAGAATTTTTTCTGGGTTTTTTGTAAAACAGTAAATTTAAAAGTTCGTGGATAACAATAATTATTATATTTTACCATTAAAATATCATTTAGGTCAAAGGGCTTCTTTATACTAGTGTATTAACCATTACAGACACTTTTTTTTAAAGGTAATTACCAGCTCTGGTAATTTAGGGCATAAACCTGGCACTGGCTGGTGGTCTAATAAACTTGTATATTAGTTAGAACCTATGATTTAAGTCACCTGCAGTGCTTCAGCTACATCCAGATGTGGTTGTGATTTATGGGATGCGGCTCACACGGATCCCCCGGAGCCTCTGGAGGCCGCGGACCCCGGCTGCAGATGCAGCTCTGGGGAGGCTTGTTTTCTCCAAACGCTCTTCGCGGATCCGCCCAGGAAGTGGCAGACGGGGCAGAGAGCTGCGAGAGCGAACACATCCGACTGCCTGCGCGCTGCGTTAGCTCCTCACGACTTGTCAGAAACTTTGAGTGGCGGAGGAGGCAGAGAAAAACAAATATTAAGTTTTAGCAGCTGCTCGGGCGGATATCATGAACGCGCTTTCCCCTTAAGAGCGGCCGGGGACAGTGAGCCGAGCACCGCGGCGGTCCGCTTGATTAAGTTAACGTGAATGGCGGGGTTTCATCTCGTCTCTCCCGACGCCAGTGGACTCCGAGAGAGTAAGCTGGGTTGTAGCTAACCCGAGAAGTTAACAGAAAGAGGGTTGTTTGTTTCCGCGGGCTAACGTTAGCTTTGTCTTCATTTTTTATTTTATTTTTTAACCCTTTCTGGATCCTGTTATCATGACGGTAAGCCCGACTCTCCTTATAGAAGTCTTGAAAGCTGTGTGTGTGTGTGTTTTTTTTTTCCTGTCTGTCACTTCTTCCTGAATTAATATATGTCAAATGAACTAGCTAGCCGTTTACGTTTCTCAGTTTTTGGGTAAAAGTTCAACTAATTCCCATTAAAGTTTAATGTATGTTAGCTTTACGTAGCTAGCTAGTTTTTAATGCAGTCTCGCGCACAGTTTGATTCGAGGGGTGTGTACGTTTAACCGCTAGCTTAAAACTTTTTTTTTTTTTTTTTTTTGGGGTTTAACTAAATTGAGGGAAAAAAAAAAGAAAAAAAAAAAAAATATTTGTTTCTGTGCCCCCCCAAAAAAAAAAAAAAAAAAAAAGTTAACGCTGGTTTCCTCGTGCGGCTCCTCTGTTTGCCCTTTCTTGTTTACAGTAGGGTCATTAGCCGCTAGCTTATACTGTATGTGTCACTTCTTACAGCCAGCTGTGACACATGTTCCCTGTTTGCGCACACCTGGCTGATGTTTTCACAAAGTCACCCCCAGAGCTACCGGCTCTCCAAACCGTGCAGGAGCTGTCATCACAATGAGTGTACATGAGGATACTCTTACTCACATTGTTGCAGGAGGTTCACCCATTTAACTAGGCCTAAAGGACAAAGCTCACCACACAATACTCCTTTATAATGGCAGGAGTTGACTCAAACTGTCTCCAGTGTTGGCTGCATGACTGGAGCTGCACAGCTGAGGGGAGGAAAAAAAACAGACATTTGATTTTCTAACATGTCGCAATATGAGAAAACACAGGAGTTAGCTGCCGTAACTCTGTTTGTGGTGACTTTATGGTCTGATTGAAATGGGCAAACAAATTAGTTGAGTCATGTAGTGGCAGCAGTTGCAAGAAGCTGCATGCAAAGTACCTGTTCTTTTTTGTTCCTGTCATCCTCTCTGTAGCTGTAATATTTACATACAACTGTTTGTTTTTGCCAGCAAGTCTTCCTTTGCAGTGTTTCTCTCCTTCCTCATTTTGCTTTGAATCTATCACACAGACTGCTTTTGTTGTTAATTTGCTTGGTATCATGTTTTCTGGTAGTTGTGCATGCCCAGTGCAGACGCTGAAACGATGTGTTGTGCAGCTTTAATGCGTGGCATTTAGGAACATAAGGGATCCTTCCTCTTTGTGTGTGTGTGTCCCCTTCCTGACCCTACTTATAGGCATGTATTGACAAGATAATATGAATTTATGATCATGGCTCCAGCGTTTTAACCTCAAATGGACTTGAGCTGAACAACGTGGGGAACATGTCTCATTGTGATTTGATTTGCTGTGTCTTTTTTTGTTTTTAACTTCAGCTTAATACTCATTGTGTAATAGATTTAAAACAAGGAGGAACAAAACAACTGATGCTACAGGTCAAACTCTGGATCAGACCTGCTGCGTTCTAAACCACAGTCTTTGCTAATTGCGTTGGTTCAAATCGAAATTTAATAATTGCACAACCCTAATCTACAGACGCTTTCTGTGAGACAATAAAAAAAGGCCAGAAAGAAACAATATGCCACAAAAAAGTTTCCTATTGCCGTTAGTTGTGATGTGTTATGACTGTTTTAAAATATATAAAGATCCCCTCCAGTGAAAATCAAATGTGCTTTTGTTTTTTTTAAACCTTGTTAACATTTCATGTGTTTTTGTTTTTGTTTTTTTTAAGTGGGAAGACTGCGGTGTACATGTGGTACTTTCAATAACACAGATTCAGACTTCCACGGTTTATTACATCACAAACCTGAGGAACCAATCAGCTTGTAGGAGGCTCACTCTTCTTCCTCAGAATCTCTGGCTGAATTACTCCAAAATCACGGCTTGCTACTGTGTAGTGTCGAGTAGTTTGACAGTGTTTTAGCAGAGGTGAGCTGGTGTGCTGAGCTGCAGGAACCTGCATAGATCCGCATGTTCTAGAGGGAGCAAGTGTGTAGAGGAACATCTAAGACGTCTTAAGAGAGGAATAAAACTTGTTTATAATATCTATCTTTGATATATGGACATGAATTCAACAATTTCCCTGAGGTACCCTACCAAAGGGATCAATAAGGTTCTATCTAATCTAATCTAATCTAATGAGTTTTAGGGTTTAATCAACGACTGCAGAGAGGCTAAATAGTTTCATCTCATCATTTATGAATGACTCCAGAACATTTAAGTGGGATTTATCAGACATCGTCACACACCGAGGAGATTCTCTCTGCCTTATTCCTCTAACACGCTCTGTTGGCAGTTGTCAGACGGGAAAATTTGTTAGATTAAAGAAGATCAGTGGCAGAGATAAACCAGCTTATGCATAGAGAAACGGGGTGGTGCTGTGGCTGGGAGGAAACAACCAGGAGCTGAACGAGGAAATGAAATTATCAGTAACAAATTACAGAAAATAACCGATGGGAGTGAGGTTTCAGTGGGAGATGAGATGACGAACGCGGGGCGATCTGACGGTGAGGAATGCACACGCTAGTGAAGGAAAGATAAGCAAAGTGAAGGAATGCGAGTTGGAAGAAGTTGCCTAATCTTGATGTGGGATCACCACGTCTTGAGGTACCTGGTGCATGTTTTTCTCTTCCTGTCATCGTGTCAGAAGCGTTGCTCTGCTGCAGTGCCGTGTTGCATAAGCGCTGTGGCGTTGAGAAACTAGATTAGCAGTATTTGTTAAACGATCAATACGTGTTATGTATCTGGTATTAAAGCAGCAGATGATTTAGTGGCTCCAGCGCTGACCTTCACCACTAAAGCTGGAGAAAAGTTAATTTCTCCACAATGGAAACTGGTTTTTCCTTTGTGGCCAAATAAGTCAGGCCGTATACAACCAGCGTCTGTTTTCTCTGTGAACAATAACGATAAGAATAAACCTTCAGCGGCGTCGTGGTTTCTCGTTTCTTGGACGGAGACATGCAACACCCTTTGTTATGGCCTGGCAGTGCTGCTGTGCCCGTTCTGGGTGTTGTTTCATCTGAGTCACTTTTGTCTCTTCTGTCTGCTTCCTGTTCACTTTCTCAGTTTCTTTCTTCTCTGTGAAGTCCATCCAGTGATAAAGGGCATTACAACAGAGCGCCCTTGACTTTCACAGACAACACAAAGTTCCCTTTTTTTTTTTTTTTTTAAGGTCTGTTGCATTTTTATGAAACGTCCACATTAAAGTCGACGCTGTCTGCTCTCTGCTTTGCAGCCTGACCTCTTGAACTTCAAAAAGGGATGGATGTCAAAACTGGACGAGAGCGGCGAGGTAACGTCCTGTGATGCTGACTGTCTTTCCCTCCTTCTTCCCAGCCTCCCTCGTTCCTAATGAGAAAGGCTGTTTGTAAGATGATAGCGGCAGATTATCCTCGTTATCACATTATTAGCTCGGTGGCTGGAGGCGTAGCAGGTGTCTCCTCTCTTTTAATGATATGCTTGAGTGAATGAGCTTCTCTCTTCGCCCGCCACATACTGCAGGTCTTGAGTTTACCACAGGGCCTTCCTGTTTCATGTTTGTCACTTCTCGCACAGAGCAGGCTTACAGTAGGAGTCACAAGATGATGCAATTAGTGATTACTTTCATTGTTGATGTTTATTTCTTGATTAATGGATTAGTTGTTTGAGCTAAGAAATGTCAGAAATTGATGAGAAATGTTAATCAGTGCTGCCCAAAGCTCAAGGGGATGAACTCAAATGTCTTCTAAAACTCAAAGGTAGTCAGTTAGCTGTTATATCTGACATCTTGTTTGTTTCTCCAGTGGAAGAAGCATTGGTTTGTTCTGACGGACGCAGGCCTGAAGTACTACAGAGACTCGAGTGCAGAAGAGGTTTGTTTAATTAAAGTTTTGTGCTTTTTTTTTTGTCAGCTTGTTGCCCCATTTCATAATAATAAGATCCATGAATGCCGTCTGGCCCGAGCGGTTTAACAATAACCTGTTGTCTCGCTTCTGTGCAGAAAGACGACTTGGACGGGGAGATCGACCTGAAGTCCTGCGTGAAGGTGTCAGAGTTTGACGTGGAGAAGAACTATGGGTTTCAGATACAGGTGCCTGTCTCGGTTCCAGGTCACACTCTTTTATAAACCGGCTGTGTGACGGGTTTTCTTCTTTATATCCGTCCCCTCTTGTCTTCCTCGTCACCTCCAACCACACCCGCTCTCAATTTCTGCTGCATTTTCTTGTTATTCACTTATCATCACTCACATCTAACCTGTTTTTTTTTTTTGTTCTTCAGACACGTGAGGCCGTATTCACACTTTCTGCCATGACTGCTGGGATCAGGCGGAACTGGATCGAGGTTTTGAAGAAGTGTATCCGACCCAGCAGCTCTCCAGACCTCACACAGTAAGAACCTACAGCATTGTGTTCGCATATTTATATTATAATGTACAAGAGAGGTCTGTCAAGGAGAGCATCATTTACAGTCGAGACTCGATAATCCGACACTAAATGTAAAACCTTCTTTTATGTCGGATAGCAAGGCTGTCGGATTGTCAAGACGGAGGTCCAGATACAAGGAGGGCTTGATGCTGGAAGGCTCATTAGTTGTTAATTATTGTTCATAGTTGTTATAATAACTGGTGTATTGTTAGAACACTACGCATCGCTGGATTTCAGTCTAATTGTCCGGTGTGCTTGTGCACGTTCCGGCCACTTCCACCCCGGGGCAGCGCTCTGACGGGGAGGAAGTGTCCAGAACACACAGGCAGTACTTGGCTGCTGATGCTAGTTTAGTTAGCGCTCACACTTCTGTTTCCTCCATCGGTGGCGGCGGGGGAGTGGCAGATACGCTCCACCGTTACCATCCATGTTTACTTCCATAAACACTGAGCACGCTCGCTGCGTGTGACGTCGTCGTGTCCTCTTCTGCGCATGCGGGACACTTTTGGGTCGTATGAAGTTCACACAGCAGATCACATACAAGTCGCATTGAACTGGAAACGTGAAGGAAGTCACAAAGAAATCCTCATTGAGCATCAAGTCCTGCAGTGTGAACGTAGCCAATCTGTGGGATTGTTCAGTCAGATAATACGCCGTCATCCTGATTGGTGACATTAAATGTCATGTCGGAGTCACAATCCAAGGCTGTTTCGTTTTTTTTTTAAATATCGTGATACATTTTACAGAACAACTAAATATTGCAGCGTACATTTTATTCCAGCCCTAATTTTTCATCCAAGACCAAGACGTTGCTCATTGACGTATATTGACATTTTAGAAACATCATCTTGTCGCCTGTGAGAGCCATTTGCTCGTATTTCACATACTGTCACTTAAAAGAACAGTTAAATATAAATGTATTGAAATGCTGATCATTTAGCAACGAGCTTTGGGTGCACTTCCACTAATTTCAAGATTGCTTGCTGCTGCATTCTTGGATTAATCATTTCAGGTCTTGCTTTGGCTCTGCCTTGAATAAATACAGTTAGATAAGAGGCTGTACACGCTCCTTTAACTTAACCCCTGAAGAATTTCAGTCACTTCCAGATGACTCAGTTTGATTAGTTCCTCGGAGGAGGAATAAATGTTCTGTTTTTTTAATGACTCACTGTCAGCTGGGCCTTGAAAGTATTGATGGATTTGTGATTGAGGACTTACTCCTTCAGGTGATTAAAATAAGATGTATGATTTAATAATTTGATGATTTATAAGTTCTAATCTTCTCCAGATTACCCGACAGCAGCAGCGACAAGGAAAACTCCCATTCTCGCTTCTTGACGTCCTCCCGTCGGGCGTCATCGCGACACGGCGACAGTCAGTCGGACGGTCCGACCTCCGCCCCTCCGACTCAGCGCAGGTTCGACTACGTTGAGCTGTCCCCCGTGCCCGCCTCCTCCAGCCCTCTACCGGCCAGTCAGAGAGAAGCAGGGGAGGGCCAGGGGAGGGAGCACAGCCAATGGCAGGAGGAGAGGAACACCAGCAGCCAGTGGGAGGCTTTGCTGTCCAGGAAGGGCGGCGTGGGCTCGAACCAGAGGCTACGCATGGAGGACGAGATCGAGAAGAAGTGGGCCGAGTTTGAGCGGATGCCGTGTAAGGAGATGAGCTCCTCGCTACCAATGGGATTACGGTCTTCCAGCCAGTCAGCCGATGAGGCGCTGCAGAGGGAGGTAGTGCGTGGAGATGATTTTCCAATTTGCAAATTACATAATATGCAAATTAACCCTTCATCTGCCCGGATGAAGTAAAAAAAATTCTGCCGCTTTTTAACACTTTTTTGCTACCTTCTGACCTCTCCGTAACCCTTCAGCAGTGTTTTCCATCTGAATGAATACGCGGTGGCAGCATGTCTGTGCAGATTCTCAGTCATCCAGTCGGGGTAATCCCAAATGCGTCACTAGAAGGCAAAAGATGACTCAAGGTGTTATTGGTGGTGAAACTGTCTGCAGAGAGTCGGGACTGTATTATAAGTACCTGACAAGTGGCATCATGAGGCCCCTCTTCTGTGAAGTGATGGAGGAGCCGTCTCTCTCCCTCTCCTGGAAGTTGAACAACCATTAGCACCAAGAGGCAGGTCTCACCTCGAGTCTTGTTTTGTTAAGAGAGCCATGAGCCAAGTGAGTTTGGGTTGAGGCTAAATACCTGGGACCAGGAGGTGAAACGCCTTTAAGACCCAGAAAGAGGAATTCAGTTGCTTTCTGCTGAATCACTGGGAGATGAGAACATTAAAAAATCCTGATGAGAAGAATCCAGACAGTAATATGGAAAACACTGCTGAACGTCCGTCTGCTCTTTCTCTGTGTGCTGTGATGTGCATCTTGGTTTGATTCTGTTTCTATGCCATCATACCACTTACACCTCAAGGCTGGATGAAAATAATCCACCCGTGTCATACAGTTACACTTCTAATAGCACTGTTTGTTCATACTAGACAGTTTGTGTCATTTTTCTTCAGTATAAATTGAGCATTTCCTCTTTATAGCGGCATCTTCTCTCCCTAGAACCTTATGAGATAGACTTTGAAAGCTCAGAAGTGAAACATCAGCCGCATAATCTTGGTGTAAGTGGTTGGCATCATGAGACCGCCTGTAGTAAAACCGTAGCTCAAGCGGGCGTCGTGTTACAGCGCCACACTGATCAGCTTTGGCCCTCTAACCCTGTGGCTCAGTGGGCTTTACCTCCGCCGTCCGTCTCTTCTCAGGTGGCGTCACTGAGGCAGCAGCTGGAGCAACTACAACGGGGGGGAGGAGGGGGAGGGCGAGGCGGGGGAGGCTGCGGCCCTGAGGCGCCCTGCGGCCGCAGCCTGGCGGCCATGGAGCGCGCCCATCGGCAGGCGCTGGAGGAGCTACAGAGGCAGCACGAGCGCCAGATGAAGGAGCTGGAGACGGAGAAGGACAGGCTGCTGCTGGAGGAGACGCAGGACACCGCACGAGGTCGGTTAAAAACCACATCGGCAACTAAGTAGGTGTGAAGTTCTGTGGAGATTACACGTGCTGGTTGATCATCTGAAGGGGAAAACTCTTAGTTTGTAGTTTGGGCTTGTGACACCAGTCCTGAAACTTTTCTGACACACCTCGGCTTGTTGTAAAGAAGACATCCTGTGTTATTCATTTCAAATGCCAGCGATGTTAGAGTAGATCTCATATATGTAAATGTAGTGTGTGTGTGTGCAGCTGTTGACATGCTTGTTTTAAGCCACATCCGAATACGAATGCATCTCAGGTTGTGAACGTTTTGTAATATTCATACCTTGACGTGCTGTCATCGCTCAGCGAGAGACAAAGTTGAGTCACACTGGTTTGTGTTTCAGTGATGGAGGCTTTGAAGAAGAAACACAGAGAGGAGCTGGAGAGGGAGGTGGAGAAAGTCAAGAGGCTGAGCAGCGGGGTTCTGGACTCGCACACTCTGCGAGCCCAACAGCAGTAAGTAGCTCCAGCTCTGTTTGTGTGGATGGGACAGAGACGTAGATGATCATGGCCGCCCTGTAGAGTCTTTATAGTGATACAGTAATACCTGCTGAACGTACATAGCTTACATGTACACAGAAAAACAAACATCCAGTCACTGTATTTTCAGGGATAATGAACAGAAGGATTAAACTTTTTAAACTCTACACAACATGCGAGCACCAGACGTGTTCCTGCTTCTCAGATGTTGTGATTTATTCCTGTGTCTCTGAACTCACAGTTAACTCTGAACACTTCATGATGACGGCATTAATGAAATCATGACCCTCCAGACACGTGGCCAGACTTCTCTGTGTTGTCATGTTTGTTTATGGTGACTAGAACACAGCACCTGGACCATCACGGAGTTGGTAAACCTCCTAAACTCTTGTCTTGTACAAGCCTTGAGCAGGAGTCCTCGGTGGTGGTTTGGCCCCAGTTCGGTCTCAGCCAGCGCAGGTCAGCTTTGGTAATTTATGTGAATAGGCCTCTTGTGCTTTTAAGTGGGATCTAGCTGCTCCACAAAAGGCTCTTCTGTGAAATAAAAGGTTGATTTTGCAGACTCCACGACAACTCTGGGCTCTTTGTTGAGGCGAGGCCATTACCGCAGCAGCCACCGGGTCCCGTTAGGCACTTCAGGAATGTAGGAGAATTTGGTCATGGATTAGTTTTCTTTTGTAAGCTTCATAAGGCCTTTGACACAGACTGTCTCAGTGGTTGCAACTGGAACCTGCATTTTAGGGCTTATCCTCGTTGCCGACGCTGCATTTTTTTCACGCTGCACGGCTCGTCGTTGTTTTTGTTGTTATTAGTTATGAGGAGGTTTTCAAACCGCAGCAGGAAATATCTGACTGATGGAAATGGAAAAACACGAAGTTTGTACTTTATTTTAATAAAAGCATTCTTTAAATGTGACGGATTCAAACATGGCCGAGCAGAATCAGACACTAACTCTGACAGGATTATCTCTAGCAGGGATGTGTCTGAGTTTAACCACGTTGAATGCTGATTTGCTGTAGAGTAAAAAGATGTTTAAGAGTTTAAGTCCCTCATACGCTGGATCTGAACTGTCATTTAGTTCAGAAGAACCCGACACAAACAGTTCTTATTTTATCTCGTCTACCTTTTTTGCTGCAGGGCAGAAGCTCAGACCTTGCAGAGGGAGCTGTCTGGACTGTCAGAGCGCTACTCTCAGAAGTGTCTGGAGCTGAACCGGGCCGAGCAGAGCAACGCTGAGCGAGAACGGGAAATCAGCCGCAAGGAGAGAGACATGGAGCAGCTGAGGAAGGAGAACCAGGTGAGAACATGCACTCAGACGAACGGGAAGAGCGACGCAAACCCTCTGAAGTCATTTTGCTGTTTTGTGCTGATATGTCGTTCTGAAAGCGTGGTCGACGTAATCATACGTTTTTCATTTTAGAGTATTTTAGCTGGAAGGTGCCTGATTTAGTGTGACCGCTCTGACCCTCACTGGATCACTGTGTTAATAAGTGGCAGGTGAGAGGGTGCATACAGTATCTGGTACTGCTATGCTGCTGTTCTGTCGGGACAGTAACGTGTGAAGTCTGCAGCCCGGCTTTATAAAACTAGTCGTACATTTTATTCAAATGTATACCAACCAATGGTTGTTATTTAAAATGATAACGATAAAATCTCTTCCCCCTTCAGGACCTAAAGACCCGTTTGACGGAGGAGTTCACCCGCATGCGATCCACCATCACGGTTCACGGCTCAGAGGACAGGATACCCTGTGAGCTCCAGGTAACAACGCTACGCCGTGTGCTGCAAACTGAAGGCAGATGGTCTGGTTTTAACTTTCTAAACCATCCATCATGTGTTGTGCTAAAGACAACTGGGTCTCCACATGGACTTCCTCTGCTGTAGTTTAACGTGTTGGTTTAGAGGACTCACAATGTGCTGTTATTTCTAAAAATGAAATATTGCTAATTGTTAATTATACACCTACAATCATCGTTGGCCTCCTTCTGTCTCGCGAGACGACAGTAACTCACACACTTCTTGGCTAAACAAGCCGATGTGGGAGTGGCAGACTTTTTGGCATGAAGAACAGATGTGTACGGAGACTTGCGTGTTTCCCTCTTTGGCCTCAGATGGCCACTGCGTGACATCTCGGCTTGTTTCGTACTGCTCACAGCAGCAGCAGCTTTCCAGGAATCTCTTGACTCAGCAGCGGTCTCCCAGGACTGGACGCGGATCCCAGAGGTTTTCATGTCGCGCTTGCAAGCTTCGAGGTCTAGAGCCCTCTGACAGCTCGCCATACAGCAGGTCTTTAGTTATTCTGCCATCGCCCAGCCAGCGGAGACGGCGTCAGCTAAGGAGCATGAAGATGGATGGAAGTCCTATGCGCTTAAGCACATCGGTGTTTGGGAATTTTATCTCGCCAACTGATGCCAAAGAAGATGGAAGCTGTTGAATCTGTTCTCCAAGTGTCGCTGGAGTAGAGAAGTGCACTCAGGACACAAGCTCTGTACACCTGCATTTTAGTACTAACACCTAAAATAATAATGTTGTTAATCCAGCACCAGTAACTTCAGGTTCTCCTTACCTCCGTACACTCATGTAACAAGCGTCATTTATTTGCCCGCCATCATCTAGCGTAATTAATGTGTGCAAAAGTGGAGAAAATATAATTTTCCTTTTCTATCATTTAAGTGAACTGCATATATATAAATATATATATTAGATTTGACACTGAACTGACATGTTGACAAAAGATATGACATCCAGTGATTGTATCAGCTGTCCAAGTGAGTTTGTGTTTTGCTGCTTCTTCTTTTTTTTTTCTGGAGAAACAAATTACACTGACGGTCACTGTACTATAAAAGCTAAGTTATACAAAGGAGGCCCAGTGTGTTATCTCACCACATCCTTTCTGTGCATTCTTGGGTATTACATGTCTTTTTTTCTGTTCTTTTATTTTATTTTTTTACGACAATATGTTGTATTTTTCTTCCAGGTTCTTCTCAGGATGAAAGACAACGAGATCGAGTACCTGCACAAAGAGATCAGCTGTCTGAGGAACGAGTTGCAGTTTCTCAACCTGGTACTTTGTGTGTCTGTGTGTTGCTCTGTTAGACTGATGTGTCGGTTCTTTCAGCCCACACTAGAACAAGATCTTGGTTGTCTGTCTCACAGCCTGGAATCCATTAGAATGAATACAGCTCATTAAATTTCCAGCTCAAATCTAAAATGCGACGTTGAGCTAGCTGCACCTCGCCTCACGCTCTTTGCTCCGCAGGAAAAACAGCTGGCCTGCGATCGATACGCCGAGGTGCACGAGGAGCTGAGCGGGATGAAAGGCCGAAACGAGCGAGAGATTCAGAGTCTGAAGGAGCACTTGAGGCTGGCGATGGCTGCTCTGCAGGAGGGCCAGAAGCTGGGAAACAGCCTGGACCACTGAGAGGCTGCTGCTGGTACTGATGCTCTGGCAGGTGCGAGTGCAGCGTCACGCTAATAGTCGACAATTTGCTGCCTCTCTGGAGGTTTTAAAGCTATTTGCTAAATTCTTTTCTGTGTCTTCTTGCAGGTGCGTCTACGCTTTCAGTCGAAGAAGAGATGCAGAAGAACAGAGGAGATGCTTCCAGCCGTGTGGGGGACCTCGATCATGCCTTAGTTTTCAATCATTCTGCCAACGAGCAGCGTAGAGTAGCCATTAGCTGGTTTCATTACACTGGGCCACACCTGATATATAAAACTGCACTTTTAATTGTTTTTTTGTTTTTTTTAATTTTAGCTTTTGTGAGTGCAAGCGTGTATGAGTACGCATTTGGTCCAAAAACTGGAATATTTGTTGAGTGACTTGTTTTTTTCTAATATCAGGTATTGTAGATAAGAGTTCATACTGTATCAGCTTTTGTAGTTGGATAAGCTTCTCGTTGCCTCTCGTCTGCTGCCTGAGACAGCCGGCGTCGGAAGAGCTACTGTCGTCTCAGTTTCCTGTTGTACAGTTTTTAAGTCGTGTTTACTTTGTCATGACGGCACACTTTTCTTAAGACATGGGAGCGTTTCATTTACTGTAATTGTTTTGTTTTTTTTTTTACTTGCAAACAATTTATGTTCTATTGTATTTGTGAATACATATTTTTTTTGGAGAAAATATTTTGGGATTAAAACAGGACAAGACAGCAAGAAATTCTAATTCCTGGCTGAATTGGAAATTGATCTATGATCACGTAGAAGCAAATTCGGGCTCAGCTTTCTTTGGGATGCTCGCAGGAAGCTGTTGAATGAATGTTGTCCCACGTCACAGATGTCTAAGCCATGGCTGAGAACTCCCGAGCTTTAAGTCTCCCCTCATCGTTCTGGGCATACGCAGCATGTGCCACCACCTCCCCCACCACAGAGAACAGGTGTTGCATCAATGAGCCAATTTTTTTTATTATTGATAATATGTATTGTGATAAAATGACTTATCTACTTGCCTTTTGAAAGCAATTTCATATTTAATGTACTTTAGAGCCTGTTGTATCTTCTTTGTAAATTATACACATTTTTGCAATCAATTAAAAAAAAACAAACGTCCTGCAGTAAAACACGTGTACCAGACGTTTAATTTCACCGACACACGCAGACAACACGTGACTCAACCGTAACAAATCTGATGATGTAGTTGTTTGACATAAGTTGACTGTTTTGATCGACTGTTTTTATGCTGGTATGTGACATTATGATCCGACAGCAGCATGTTCCTGTTGCAGCTGCAGGTGGAGCTACTTTATTAACAGGCCAATCAAGGTCAAATCAGTTAGTCTTTATTTATAAGGCACTTTTAAAACAACAGCCAAAGAGCACTCCAGTGGGTGGAATAAGATCGGTGTTACCAATTAGCTTGCAAGTTAGAATATCAAGACTAAGATCTTCCAGTGTTATTTATGAAGTGAATTTGCCTGAATAATTTAAATGGGATTAATGAGGGAAGAAACAAGAAAAGAAAAAACAAAGTTCTTATCGACAAATCTGTTTGAACTTTTTCTCTACTCTTTGATATTTTTCATTTTTTTGCTGAGATAGACTTAGATAAACTTTATTGATCCACAAGGGAAATTGTAAAATCTTCATTATAAAAAAATAATAAAAAATAACAAAATAAAAAATAAATACATATTTTTAATAATAAATAAATATATATTTTTAAATGTCTTACTTTATTTATTTGTCTTTATATTTCTACTTTTATGGATTCATTTTTGATTAATATTGCTTTATATTGCCACATCATTTATTTTTTTATTTTAGTTATTCTTCTTTTCATTTCCACTTTTCTTTTTTTACTCTTTTATTGATTTATTTTTGTAATTTGCCACTTTCACTACTCCATAGACAATAAAAGAAATAGTAATAAAATAAAATCAAAATAAATACCACTACTGTAACACTTGAGTGGAGGACTTATCGCCACTCATATTGGAACATTTATTAAACTTAAAACAAGACACTATCTGGTGGAGCTTTTAGGAGCTTATCTGAAAGGTGATTCCGATTAAACAGCTCCAGTATGGTGGGAAACCATCTTTGACAATTGTTGTATTTTAAAAGCTTAGTTTATATATCTTTTGTGTAAAGGTTTCATATTAAAACAGCTGTCAGATGAATTTAGCGGAGGAGAAAGTGCAATTTACCTCTGAAATGTGGAGTGGCAGTATAACGTAGTATCACAGCAGTACTGTGTTTACTTACCACCACCAGTGAAGTCGTGTATTGTTGCTGCGGTGAAGCCTCCTCTCCTGCAGGTGGCGCCACCGGCCGCCGCCAGACCAGTCAACAGCGGAAACAGCGCAGCCGCAGAAGGCAGCAAACATGGCGTCCACGGCGGCGACCCGAACGGCGGCTGCTACCGCAAAAGTCGTTAAACCGATTCTTAGCCGGGACTTGGATGAAGCGAAGCGCAGGGTTCGGGAGCTGTACCGGGCCTGGTACCGCGAGATCCCCAACACGGGTGAGTCCGTCCGCCGTGGAGGCTAAAGTGGCGTGTAGCCAGCGACGCTAACGTCAAGGTCGAGTCTGCGCTGCTAGCTAACGGCTAGCTGAGCATAACAACAGTTTGACCGGACGCTGTTTGGTCATCTGACAGTTGATAGAAACTTTTGTATTTCTGTTGGTTCTGCTACGAGTGCAGGCTAACGGCCTGTCTGCTCCGTAAAGCCGATGTAGCATCTCCATCACGGCCGTGTCATCATGTTAGCATGTTAGCATACAGCTGTGGGAGGTTACCTGTTAAAGTGTATCATGGTTCATGCTGGACTCTGGTGGTCAGGAGGACATCATCAAAACTACCCTTCCAATTGCGTAACACATATTTTTTCCTACTTCTACGTAATTTGATATTCCAAAAAAACTCAATAAAAGCGATTGGGCCTCTCCTCTTCTTCTGACATGATCAGTTCTTATATGCAGTCGTTCTCCTTCCATTAAAGAAAAAGCAAAACTCATAGCAGTCACTCAAATAACTAGAAACTGAAGAAGGTAGCAATAAATAAAAATTTGCTAAATTACAATTTAGTGAAATAAGACATTGCTTTTGAATTGTGGTTGAAAAGAAGAATTTTAAAAAATCAAGCAAAACTGTTAAATGAGAGCCCTTTGCTTTTGAGCAGTGGGTCAGAATACCTGTCAACAGGTGCACAAGTCTGACTGAGAGTTACAGAAACACCTGATGATGGCAGTGATTGGCTCAGAGGGTTGTTCAACTAAATGCTAGTTTACGGGTCCCATCATGCTTCTTGTTTGCTTGTTTTTTTAAATATTTCTTTGAACCACAATTCAAAAGCAACGTCATGATTTTCATTAATTTTTTATTTATTTCAGTGACAGATGTTTTTTTTCCTTTTTTAATGGGAGGGTTTGAATACATTAGAGGACGACTGTACATCATGATTAGATTATTAATCGTGAAGCGTCAGTGTGTTTGCTGTGGAGCTGCCTGCAAGTTTGAACTGTCACTTCTAAATTCAGGCTCTCTGGGATGAGAGGTGAAAGTCTTCAGGAATCAAAAAGACAAAAGAAATCGCTTTTTGCTGATTCTCTTTGGATCACCAGGATGACTGAGAATCCACACAGACGTCAACTTAATGCTTTTGGCTCCAGGTGAGCTGGTGTAACGGCTCGGTGTCGTACATAAAGCCGGTGATATTCTGGTTTGTTCACATTGTCGACAAACCTCGTGTAAACACCAAAGCCGTCGTTGAGTTTCTCCCTTCGCCCTCACTCAGGCTGGTGGAGGCAGATGGCCGCCGTCCCTGAACCTGCTTCTGCTGAAGACTTTTTCTTATACTTGTTTTCAATTTGTAGTTTTTTTTTTATGTGTAGCTTTGCCGGATCTCAACTGTAAGTTTTAAATCATTCAGGTAATGAGCTGCAGTATAATATTGTAGGATCTTAACATTTAAGTCATTCCAGTAAACCGCATGAATAATATGATTGTTGGGTCTTAACTGTAATATTTAAATTATTCTGTAAAATTCACATCATAAATAAAACTGTAGGGTCTTAACCTTAATGTTAAACTTGTTGCTGTAATGACAGTCTTATTTAATCTTATTTTTTTTTACAGTTCAACAGCTGCTGTTTTCAGATGTGCTGCCGTATAAATAACAGTGACTTGACTCTGACAAATATTATATAACATTTTCCCTCCACAAACAAATGAGACGATCAATAACCGGCTGTTCCTGATCAGTCTCTGCTGCTTTGTCATTACATTAGATTTCCTTGATAAATGGGAGTTATCAGCTCCCACAGTGTTTTTAAAACGTCTTTTTTGTTCATTCAACCAGTCCAAGTAAGAGATTGTCAGTAAACTAGCAAAGAAAATCGTAAAATGATCTCATGGAAGGTGTTGATGTGGCGGAAATTAGTGCTGAACGATTTATATATGTCAGAAAATCATGACAATACAGCCCAAATCACAGGAGATGTGTGACTGCTTACCTTTCTGAAGGAGGTATCGTGGATGTAAGCGTACAAGATTGTTTGGTACAAACTGTGACGCCATTCCTATAAAACTGTGTCTCATTACAATATCTGTTAGAAATAATTGCTCTGTGTTTTTTTGTTGTTGTTGTTTTGTACTGTACATACTATTCTGACCGTTTCTTTCTCCGTCTTTTCAGTGACCTCGTTCCAGCTGGACATATCGATACGTCAGGGGAGAGACAAAGTGAGGGAGATGTTTGACAAAAACAAGCACATCACCGACCCTCGTGTCATCGATATTTTAGTCATCAAGGTAAACCCATGTTTCCCAGTTCCTGATCTCAGTGCTGGTGGATCCAAAAATGCCAGTTGATTGAATGTATTTGTTTGCTGTTGACTGTTCATTCCGAGGTGTGTTGACGTGTTTTTCATCCGTATGTTGTTTTAACCCTCAGGGCAAAATGGACCTCCAGGAAACAATCCACATCTGGAAGCAGAGGACCCACATAATGCGATACTTCCACCTGACCGAGGAGCCTCGTCCCACCGACTTCTTGTCCAAATTCTACCAAGGCCAGGACCCATAAACTGTGTGGCCGACCTCTGACCCCCGTTTGCTCGTTCCCAGTGTGACAGATGTTGCTCTTTATTGTAAATACACGCTTAACACTCAAACACCTAAAGTCGTGTCTTTTTGTTCACTTCTACTGGGATCAGGGATCTCCAAGTCCAGTCCTGGTGAGCTACTGTCCTGCAGGTTTTAGACGTTACTGCGACACACCGGACTCAGATTAATGGATCATTAACAGACTGGTGTTGGCAACAAGCTGTTGGAGATCCATGAATGTGAGTCAGGTGTGTTGCAGTAATGTCTAAAACCTGCAGGACAGGAGCTGACCAGGACTGGACTTGGAGATCCTGGGTTTAAAGGTACAGCAGCTGTGAGCTGCTAGAGCTCACCTGGTCGAGCTGGCGTCCCACGTACAGGGCTACAGTCCCTGACATGGCGGTCATGAGTTTGAATCCCGCTCATGGCCCTTTTCTGGAGGTTCTTCTCCCCTACTTTCCTGTCTCTCTCTCTCTCTTTGTCTTGACTGCCCTCTCAAATAAAGGCCATAAAAACTAACTTTAAAGGTACAGGAGCTGCTGAACTGAAGCTACAGGTGGTTCTGTGATCACTTTAGTGAAAATCTTTTTCACAAAACACAATGATTCCAGTAAGTGGGGGTCATGGGTTATGGTTTCTGGGACACATTATTGATGCTATAATTTTGTTCTTCCTGCTGTGAAAAAGGTCTGCTGTCAGTCATGTGGACAAACTACTCGAGCTGTCAGACGATAATATGAAGACGAGGGGAAATAAAACATTAAAGATTTGAGATTAACTGTCCTTTCTAAGATGTTGTGGACGAGTTCTGGTCAAGTTTTTGTTTTTCACCTCCTAAGTGTTCAGTGTGGGTCAGTCTTGGGCACATAAACAAAGCGTCACATCACAGTTACATGCACTGTATTTGTGTAGATAAAAGATTCCCACCAAAAATCCACTCTGAATGTTCTGATCTCACACCCACTGATTATACGCTGCAGTGTTGCTCGTATCATTCCCTTTATTAAGACTGAAGCAGTGCATGCAAGTACAGTGAAACACCAACATCCTGTGGCAGCCCGTTCTGTATCGGTACCAGCTAGAACCCTGAACCCAGCAGCTACGGGGGCGACTTGAACACACAGCAGAGGGAACTTCAGGAAAGCATTCGTCTGCTCATGGCAGCGACACGACGACGTCCTCTGTGGAGGAGAGAAGAAGTGAGGGGTGACTTTCTTTCTTTTATTAACACATTAAGATATAATAATGTGTTCACCAACAATAAAGGATGCACACAGGAGCGTTACAAACTGTTTCCCTGTCTGCATTCAAGGCAGCAGTGTGAGAAGAAAAGAAGACGTTTACACCATAAACTGCTCAGTCACACTGTTCAGCATGCTGCTATCTGGAGTGTCTGTGTTTTATGTGTCTCCAATATCGCAGCTTGCACTCAAATGCAGCATCAGGAAATAGTCCGGCTGAGGACAGCGAGTGCAACACAACTCACAGAGAAGCTCTCAACCCAAGCCAGAGATACCTGACAACCAGGAAGCCTACAGACCCCTCAGTCGTCGTCGTCGTCGTCCTCGGGGACGAAGATGTCGTGCTCCTCCAGCAGCGCCGCAAAGCTCTTGCTGATCTGAGTCCCCACATACAAGAAGGGCACCACTACGAGAGCAATCCGGAAAAGGCCGAAGGGGGTCTGGTCCCCAGTGTCGCACAGCCCACCATAGAAACAACTAAGTTAGTGACGGTCAGCTTGGATGTCTGCTAAAGCTGCTGTGACTGCAGGCTGGTCTGTGTCACGTCACACATCAACAGGTTTTGTTCGCTTACTTGTTATTTGGGACACAAAACTCAGTTCTGTGAAATGTTCTTGTCTGCACGTCTTATTCTGGAAGCTGTTGTCAGGGTTCAACATCTCCACATTCATAAATCCCAAAGCCAGGAGATGTGCTGACAAAATAGTTCCAGCAGATCCAGTTCAATGAATTTATCATTCTGAGCCTTTGAAAATGGAAAAAGGTCAAAATGTCTTTAAAACAGGGTGGTACTGGGGCCCCAGAAAGTTCCTGTAAGTGTATAAGTATGAATGTTTGCATGTTTTCTACTAAAAACAGTCACTGGTTGACGTTTCACCAACGTTTGGGGGCTCTAATGTGGTGGTTTTCAGCTATTTTGACATGTTAATATGGTGACATGGACTCATTCATAGAAGCGTATAAACTGGGCTGTATAGCAGCTTACATGTTCTCATTGCATGTGCAACGCCGCCATGTTGTCTTCATGTTGAAATTTAACATGTGAGGCTCATGTTGTCGTACCTGAACACTGAATAAAGAAACACAACATCGAGTGCTGTAACGACAAGACGAGTGAAACAGGAGACGAAAAGCAAGAAACAAAAACAACAGGAAAGAATTTATCATTTATGTACAGAAAGGAAATTCTCATTGATAATTTTAATGTCTGTTTTGGTCTTGATGTCTAGTTTGTGTTGTCTTCCCCTCTGTGAGAGCCATGTACAGTAAAAAAGCTAAAAACTTTAAATATTATTTTGGTTAAAAATATAGAAATCTCCTGTGTTAAAAGCTAAGGGTAACGTTAAACATAGAAATACTGATTTAAGATAAAGTTTCATTGGGTAAAGATAAGCTCCTCCTCTTATAACGACGCCTGTGATTCTGTTATTTGGTTTGAATGAGCTACAGGTGTGAGAGCACACACCTGTGTTCAGTTTTTGATGGAAATAAATGGACTTACTTCGTCTTGGTCTTCAGTGTGAGAAACCTGGTACTCCTGTGGTTCAGAGCAGCTTTCTAGTGCTGTTTGAAATAGTCGCTACACCCTCCTATTCCTACAGAACTACTGGCACCAACAGTTCATGTGTGTAGCAGCAGGTGGTAACTGGAAACCACCACCAGGTGCAGGTTAAGCACCCACGTGGGCCAGCTGTGTCACAAGTTGGTGAAATAAATCTATATATACACAAGGGGAGGTCATTAAGGTCACTGAACAGGTATATATAGCAGCAGCGGACCATGCAATGTACTATTATATTTCAATAGTCTCCATTTGCCTCAGTGCAACTAGTCCACTGTTCCTTCAGACCTGCTGCACCTTTAAATCTTCAGTTTGGTTCTTGAACCGCCTCTGTGACAGCCTGGAGCTCATCATCATCAGGATATCTGGCTCCACACAAATTACACATTTGTGAACAGGTGATGCTGACTGTAGGCTGGAGGCAGGACTCTTATACCTGATCCAGCCTCCTGTCAGGAGCTTTATCACTACCCTGAACTCAGAACTTCCCTTCTTTGCTTGATCATCATCAACTCTGAGTATCTCTGAAGATCACACGGATTAGGGATGGACTGATACCTCTTTTTGATTTCCGATACCGATACGATACTTCAACTTTGAGTATCTGCCGATACCGATACCATCTCTCCTCCTGAACTTCTTTTGAAATACCTTATTTGCATGGATACATTTGTTTAAGATGGCTTTATCAAAAGCCTCATACTATTAAAGCATAGACTTTGCTTTTCTAAGAAAGGAAACAACAGCCAAAAGCATGTCTCAAAGTGAAACTGTAGTTGCTGTATTTGGACTTGCCGGTTCGCGTCCTGGTGGGGGCAATGAAGTCTT